CTCCCCTAAAATGAGCGGCCGCTTCATATTCTAATTAGCAGCGTCGGAGAGACGACTAAAGAGCAATTTACGTCACCGCTAACGTGTTTTGATTCTCAGGGCAACCAGCTTAAACATTCTTTTCTATATTCCCCATTGTGCCCGGTTAATCTACTAGGCCGAGACCTTATGTGCAGACTCAATTAAAAATAGATAAATAAAAGGAGGCACCGGTCCCAAAAGTTAACTACCACTGGAAATTGACACCAAACCCTGAGATTGCTAAGTTATTAGCCACAACAAGTGGATAGTGACGCCCGCACAAAATTTGGAGGTCAACCACGCGAACGACCTAAGCTGCTCTCTCCGGTCGTTCCCAGACAATAACTTGGAGTTTGAAAATTCATGCAGTGTAGTGAAGATAGGCTAACGGAGTACGTTTATTGAGATAGGCACCACTATCTGTGCTACTTAATGAGTAACAAAAACATTTTTATCGTGAAACAAAGGTGAAGTATTAAAGTTTGAGACTAATTTACATTTTTAATGAATCCGACCTGGCTTTATTGAAAAAGAAAAAAATAAGGAAAATAAACATTTTTTTAGGTGACAAGAGCTCATTAGAGATATAGGGGACACAATCTGTGATAAGCCCGAAGTATAGACCACGTGGTAAACACTAAAGTTGGAAATGGATCCTTTTAGGAAAACTCTTTTAAAGCTCTGCAGGCTCTGAAAGTTGCAACAATAAGAAATAGCTCATGAGACAATTGGAATTGGACATGGAAAAATATAACAAAGTTAAAAGTACAGGCCTTCTGTGTTGTTATATGTTTGTGTGTGTTATATGTTTTGTGTATGTTATATGTTTGTGTGTCATGTCAAAGTACACCACGCTGACCTTAACAAACTCTGGACCAATACTAACGTGGGGATCGGCCTGTGATGTGACTGTGATATGATATGAGTGTGATGTGTGAAATAAGGAGTGAAATGAGGAATGCTGAACGGAGAATGGAATAACAAATGTGTCTGTAATGTTTTAATGTGATCATGGAATAATTCTTTTTTGTCAACAGCATACGGTGTAAGTACTAGAGATTCAAAGATAACGACCTTTATTAAACAGGTGTAAAAGTGAGAGTACTCTGGGATGAGTACTCTGAGAAAAGTACTCTGCGGAAAGTACTCGGAGATGAAATACCTCGCTGAAGATATTGGGAGTTCCTCCCTCTGCTGTTTGCCCTGACAGTGATTCGGTCCAACCGCAGTGAGCGGTCATTGGGCGGAGGACAACTTTGGTTTGTAAACTCACATTTAGGGGAGTATAAAATTAGAAACATACATTTTGTTGTTCTGTATTTGGCTACAGCCTCCGCCCTGATGCCACACACCACCTGTCAATGCAGTTATGTTTTGCCCAATTGGGAAAAAGATTGACAAGCGAAAGTGGGCATTTTTTGTGTTTTTTTTTTTGTGTTCTGATATTTCTTTTTCAGATGAGAGATAAACTACCCCTGCTCCAGGGATGACAGTAGTATGGATCAGGAGGAAATGAGCCTCCACTTTGGCACAAAAGCCCACAATATGAATTGAGGACGATCCGGGAGAAAAGCAACTGGAGATGAACGGAACAGTCGGTACTTTTGCAGCCTCACTGAGGGCCACTGAGACCCACTGCTTACTTCTCAGCAAAACTCGATCCCGTGGCAGCAGGGTTGCCTCGCTGCCTGCGGGCTGTGGCTGCCGCTGAGAAAGCGGCCCTAGCATCACGTGACCTTGTGGGATACACTGAACTAACTTTGCTTGTGCCCCATGCTGTTTCCCTGATCCTGTTAGAGCAGAGGGCCTCTCGCCTTTCTGCGGCTCGTTGGCTGGGGTACAACACGGTGCTCTTTGAACTACGGTGAAGGAATGCACACAGCTGAACTCCTCCTCGCTGCTGCCCACGCCAGAGGAAGGGGAGGCACACTGCTGTATCGCCACAATAGAGCAGAGATGCACTCCCAGGCCAGACCTGAAAGAGGTGCCTCTGACTAATCCTGACTTGATTTTTTTTATATACAGACGGAGCCGCGTCACGTGACAACACTGGGAAGAACCGAGTCGGCTATGCTGTGTGTTCTGATTTTGATACTATAGACTCTGGTAGTTTGCCCCACTACCACTCAGCACAAACCGCTGAGCTGGTCGCGCCCACCGGGGCTTGTGAGCTGGCAGCGGGCAAAACTGTTAACCTATTCTGTGATACGCGCTATGGTTTCTCTGTGGTGCACGACTGGAAAGCACTGTGGAAACACCGCAATTTTATGAAATCTGATGGTAAACCAATTCTTAATTCCACACAGGTTGAACGTCTGCTGAAAGCTGTAATGTTGCCCTTAGAGATCGCTGTATGCAAATGCCAGGCCCACACTAATGCCACTGATCCCATCTCTGCAGGGAATCGGCGCGCGGACAAGGCAGCGGCATACGCACCTCTACACACACACACACACACTACCTCACTCAAGACGTTGATATTTTCTACTCCAGCAGAGACGCTGCTGTGGGAGGGGAATGGGGCTCAACGACGGCATGGTGTGTGTGGCTGGGACCAGACAGCAAACCGTGCCTACCACGGCATTTCTTCAGACAGTTTGCAATTTTAGCACATGGTCGAGACCATGCCTCAAAAGGAGGGATGATGTGTGATTTAATCACACAAAATTGGTATACAAAGGGGTTTACGGCATTTGCACAGAGATTCAGCCAAACATGCGCTATATGCCCCGCGCACAACCCAGGTAAGTCCCAAAAGTATCCAACAGGCTGCTCATCCTCCGCCCCTGCGCCCATTTCAACATGTCCAAAGGGACTTTGTTGAACTCACACCATGCCAAGGTAAGTAATACTGTCTGGTTCTGGCGGATCTCTGGTCCAAATGGACTGAAGTATTTGCAGGCATACACGCCACAAGCAACGCGGTGGTGAAAGCTCTGCTCACAAAAATTGTGCCCCGAGAAAAAATCTCTAGTGACACTGGCAGTCACTTTGTAGCAAAAGTCATTGAGGAAGTGGGTGAATTTCTGGGCATTGATATACGTAAACACTGCAGTTACGCCCCCTGGCCCGGAGGCGCGTGCGAGCGAGAGAATGGCACTCAAAGCTCTGCCGCTAGCCCTCATGTACATGCGCATGAGAGTCCCATTCGAAATCCTCTGTGCCAGACCACCCAACTTGGGCGAGGGACCCCCGAACAGAGATCTGCCAAGCACCTCTTTGTGTGATGACGACATGCTGTCCTATTGTAAGGAAATTAATGCACTTTTGTCCTCTATTTCTGCCCAGGTCAGGAGCGCCCTGCCACAGGCTGCGCAGGCGACTGGGTCCTGGTGAAGGAAACGAGACGAAAGCACTGGCGGTCCAAGCGCTGGCTCGGCCCATTCCTCGCCCTCCTGGGGACGGACACTGCCGTTAAGGTCGCGGAGAGGACAACTTGGATCCACGCCAACCACTGTCGTGCGGTGCTGCCACTGAGGGCCATAGACGAGGACACCGAGGGCGCGGACGGACCAGGCCCATCCGCGGCTCCCTACGATGAAGAAGTTGGCCGGCGTGCGGCCACCGTCGGTGAAGCAGGCCAACAACAACACCCAGAGAATCCCAGCGTTCCCGAGGCGACCCCCCTTTTGCCCAACTCCCCAGCCCCCGGATCCCAAGGCTTGGGAGCCATGAAGGCCCTGAGCGCTCTGCTCAGCTGCAGCAAGTATGCAGAGCTGCTGCCCATTCCAAAGATTTCTCCAGAGCTTGTTCCCTCTGGCCATAATGCAGATTTGAGCTCTGCTGGAGTGCCCCCCTGGTGTCTCGTCTCCCGTGTGTCCGGAGGAGGTGGAGATGAGGGCTGCTCTACAGTTCCTGATGAGGCACATGGTGAAGCGTGCTGTCATGAGGTCTCCCATCAAATGAGCTTTGGGCCTGGCCGATCTGGAGCGTGCTCAAGCCATGGTCTCCACACCCCAAACCCCGAGCACTCTGCCCAACCGAGTGCTGAGGCCAAGGCTTCAACGCAATTAGAGTCTTGCCGCTCCAAGACCAAACATCGCCATGACCACTAACGCTCCACACACGCTCATAGGGAGCGGTGCCACTGACTGCGAGACGGCACTGCTCGTGAGTATTCCCGCGGAAAAGACTACCGAACGTAGACCGGCATGGGCCCTTGGACTGTTATGCTGGCCACACTGACACTACTTTCCGTGCTGACCGTGTTTATTATGTTAATATTGCCTTCTCTTATCGCTGTCCGGATCCATTGTGTTATTATAATGTGCTCTTTCTTTTATTGACAAGCATGTGTCTTTTCTTGTCCACTTTGGACAGCAATAATTTAAGTGTTTCAAGCTTGAAGGTGGTGTGATTACGATGCCTCTGGTATTTAACTGATTAATGCAAAAATGGTTTTGAATTATCAAAAGAGGGGAGTGTGGTGACAGTTTTTGGAGTAATGACATTAAAACCAGCCGCAGCAAATACACGGACGTCAAAGGCCTTTTATCAATGCAGACGACCTTCTGACGCCATGCTGAGCTTTGTGAAGGTCCCTGCTGTCTGTCACACCCTTGTGTCTTTCCGTCTTGCATCTGTATGACCTGCATTTCCACCATTGTCTGTCTGTTCACACCCCATGCCACTGCCACCACAGGGGATAGCGCCGGCGCTTCCTGTGCGCCTCCTCACCGGTGGCCCCCTCCGCTCCGTTGTGGGCGTGACTATCTTTGGTGTGTGTCTTGTATACAGGAAGCTCGGAGCTCTGGCCCCCAGAGCTGGGACATGCTGCTTTTGGAGTGTATGTGCTGGCTCTCCGCACTGTGCGTTAACAATAAACTTACGCTTTTGATCAGACAAAGACCTTTGAGTTTTCTCCTTCATTGGGTAGAAACTTCCCTAACAGCGCCTAGGGGCCACTGAACAGAGATGGGTGGCCCAGTTGGCCAACTTCAGGTATACAATCAAATACCGCCCAGGCACAGAGAATAAAAATGCTGATGCACTTTCCAGGCTCCATGAAAAGAGGCCAGAGGAAGCACTTGTACAAGCTGTGGGTGCTGTGGTCTCCAATGAGGGAACCTGGGAGGAGTACCAGAGCGAAGATTCAGATCTTGCCCAGCTTCTGCAGTGGAAAACACTCGGACACCTTAAGCCTGAGGTACGTGGACACTTTTCCCCCTACTTACATGGGCTGATAAGGGACTGGGATAGGATTAAAGTGAAAGGGGGTGTGCTGGTGAGAGAGTGGGAAGAGGGAGGCTCCGAACTCATGTTGTCCCAAGTTCTGGTCCCAAAACGGAAAGCTCAAGATGTGTGGAAAAACTATCACGAGGGGATGGGACACCCAAGTTGTGAACGGACTTTAGCTATTGTAAGACAGCGTTGTTACTGGCCAGGAATGGCCCGGGACATTAAGGGCTGGACAAAATCATGTCACCAGTGTGTCTGTAATAGAGCTGGCCCCTCCGGAAGGGCCCCACTGCACCCAGTTAGCACCTCATATCCTTTTGAGGTTGTAGGCATAGACTATTTGTCCCTTGGGCGCCCAGACGATCGCTACCAATATATACTTGTGATGACTGATCTATTTTCAAAGTATGCTGTTGCAGTGCCCACAAAGGACCAGTCAGCTGAGACTACAGTGAAAGCCCTTTACACTCACCTGATCCACACGTTCGGCTGTCCGGAACGTATATTGTCCGATCGTGGGGCTGCCTTCGAATCTGCACTCATGGCCCAGCTCTGCCAACTCTACGGGTGTAAGAAGAGCCGCACTACAGCATATCATCCGCAAGGTAACGGGGCTTGCGAAAGATTCAATCAAACACTAATACGACTCTTGAGCTCCCTGACAGAAACTTTGCAGACCCAATGGCCCACTAGCCTCCCCACACTGGTGCAAGCCTATAACAATACAGTACTACAGGGATTACGCCACACTACCTGGTATTTGGACGACACGCGAGGCTCCCTGTAGACTGGATGACTGGCTTGGGAACCACCGGAGAGAAGCACACTCTAGACGGATGGGTAAAACGACACCATGAGGCCCTAAATCTTGCGTACCAGACAGCAAAGACACAGTCCAGACGCAGGAGGGAGCAAGATGAGGGCCGGTATAATCTTAAAGCCAGACTTGGACCACTACTACCAGGTGAGCGTGTCCTAATCCGTGTCTTCCGCAAGGGGTCGAGGGGAAAGCTAACACCAAAATGGGGCCCGGAGCCATTTGTGGTGGTGAGGAGACTCCAGGAAGACCACCCGACCTACATGGTTCGACCAGAAGGGAGAGAAGCACCTAGCCGTACGGTTCACCGGAATAATCTTCGTCTTTGCCCAATTGACTTTGTGCAGGAAAGGCAGCGACCGGCGGCACCACAACAACTATCAATTGGACACCAAGCTGATGAGTTGCCCCCCCCCCACACTTTGGCTCCCAAGGCTGGCGCAACCAGAGCTCCCCCGCAACGAAGCACCCCAGCCAGTAAGCCCACTGACCCAAGAAATGGCCCAGTTCCCCCTGTGAGACGTTCCTACCGGTCAAATATTTGCAGGCCCCCTGTTCGGTATCAAAGGTAATTGGCCGGGACGACCAACTATAGAGGTGGGGGGTAAATGTCAAACATAGATTTTAGCCTGGGACTCCAAATCTAAAGCCAGTGTTATTTGAGTGTAGTGTTTTTAGTGTGACCTTGTTTTTAGTAGTTCTATATACTGACTTTGGCTTGAGCCTGGGACAGTCCTGATTGATAGCCCTCCCCCTCATGATTGATTGGTCGGACTGGAGGACTTTCCCCTTTTTAAAACCCGGACAGAGGGACTGAGAGGAGGAAGGAAATCGGAAGCGTTACGGGGGACGAGGACAGAGGACAAGGGGAAACAAGGACCGGCACGCACCAGGACCGGCACGCACGCGGAGCAGCACGCACGAGGAGCAGCACGCCCCAAGGAGAGACCTGCAGAGCCCACATACAACGCCCCGTAAAGCTGAGTATACAGGGACGTGATCAAGCAGCCTCAGTCGGTGTGTGTGCGTGCGCGTGAGACCGGAGCGTGATTGCCCACTCTCTCCGCAGCTGCATTGGCGTGGCGCATCAGGCCCCAGCCCAAGGAGCAGCAGACCCGGCCCAGCAGAGAGCGGCCCCAGCAGAGCGGAGCAGTGCGCCAGGCCCAGCAGAGAGCGGGCCCAGCAGAGAGCGGGCCCAGCAGAGAGCGGGCCCAGCAGAGAGCGGGCCCAGCAGAGAGCGGGCCCAGCAGAGAGCGGGCCCTTAACCTTTTATTTTGACCAGACCTTAAGACCCTTAGTCTTATTTTAACTCTTAATTGGCCATTTTAATTAGCGCCATAGGGCATTTTATAATCATATTTATTAATAAAAGTATCTGAAGTCTAAGCCTTTTATATTCATTTTTAAACAGTTATTGGTTGTTCCACACCTGACGTGTGTGTGTGGCGCACTGACGACGCTCCGTAGGCGAAATGGAACACCCCGGATCTGCTGCCTCTGACAGAGGACGTGAGAGCCCTGCACTCACACATGGACCAATGTCGGAGTAAATATTTAAATGATGGGGTAAATTCTGAAGTGGCCTTGGGACTGTCTGAACCGGAGAGAAGGTTCTGTCGGCATTTTGAACGGATTGAAATCAGAGGTAAGAGAGGCCGTAGGGTCCCGCTTCTCTCGACCCCAGAAATGGTCAAAGCTATGGGATTTTTGGTGAAGAACCGGGCGGCTGGTTCTGTCTCAAATGATAACCCATACTTTTTTGCAAGGCCGGGCGCGCCTACATTCAGTGCCTTGTGAAAGTATCCGGCCCCCTTGAACCTTTCAACATTTTGCCACATTTCAGGCTTCAAACATAAAGATATAACATTTTTTGTTGTTGTCATGAAACAAGTGGGACACAATCGTGAAGTGGAACGAAATGTATTGGATAATTTAAACTTTTTTAACAAATAAAAAACTGAAAAGTGGGGTGTGCAATATTATTCGGCCCCTTTACTTTCAGTGCAGCAAACTCACTCCAGAAGTTCAGTGAGGATCTTTGAATGATCCAATGTTCTCCTAAATGACTGATGATGATAAATAGAATGTACCTGTGTGTAATCAAGTCTCCGTATAAATGCACCTGCTCTTTGATAGTCTCAGGGTTCTGTTTAAAGCGCAGAGAGAACCATGAAGACAAAGGAACACACCAGGCAGGTCCGAGATACTGTTGTGGAGAAGTTTAAAGCTGGATTTGGATACAAAAAGATTTCCCAAGCTTTAAACATCTCAAGGAGCACTGTGCAAGCAATTATATTGAAATGGAAGGAGTATCAGACCACTGGAAATCTACCAAGACCCGGCCGTCCCTCAACTTTCATCTCAAACAAGGAGAAGACTGATCAGAGATGCAGCCAAGAGGCCCATGATCACTCTGGATGAACTGCAGATAACTACAGCTGAGGTGGGAGAGTCTGTCCATAGGACAACAATCAGTCGTGCACTGCACAAATCTGGCCTTTATGGAAGAGTGGCAAGAAGAAAGCCATTTCTCAAAGATATCCATAAAAAGTCTCGTTTAAAGTTTGCCACAAGCCACCTGGGAGACACCAAACATGTGGAAGAAGGAGCTCTGGTCAGATGAAACCAAAATCGACCTTTTTGGCCACAATGCAAAACGATATGTTTGGCGTAAAAGCAACACAGCTCATCACCCTGAACACACCATCCCCACTGTCAAACATGGTGGTGGCAGCATCATGCTTTGGGCCTGCTTTTCTTCAGCAGGGACAGGGAAGATGGCTAAAATTGATGGGAAGATGGATGGAGCCAAATACAGGACCATTCTGGAAGAAAACCTGTTGGAGTCTGCAAAAGACCTGAGACTGGGACAGAGATTTATCTTCCAACAGGACAATGATCCAAAACATAAAGCCAAATCTACAATGGAATGGTTCACAAATAGACGTATCCAGGTGTTAGAATGGCCAAGTCAAAGTCCAGACCTGAATCCAATCGAGAATCTGTGGAAAGAGCTGAAGACTGCTGTTCACAAACGCTCTCCATCCAACCTCACTGAGCTCAAGCTGTTTTGCAAGGAAGAATGGGCAAGAATTCCAGTCTCTCGATGTGCAAAACTGATAGAGACATACCCCAAGCGACTTGCAGCTGTAATTGCAGCAAAAGGTGGCGCTACAAAGTATTTGCGCAAGGGGGCCGAATAATATTGCACACCCCACTTTTCAGTTTTTTATTTGTTAAAAAAGTTTAAATTATCCATTAAATTTTGTTCCACTTCACGATTGTGTCCCACTTGTTGATTCTTGACAACAATTATTTTTTATATCTTTATGTTTGAAGCTTGAAATGTGGCGAAATGTTGAAAGGTTTAAGGGGGCTGAATACTTTCACAAGGCACTGTATATAGTAAGTAAGTAAGTAAGCTTTATTTATATACCGCCTTTCACAGACCAGAGTCACAAAGCGGTTTACAATTGTTATTTTTTTGGGCATTTGTCCTCTCACTCCACACAGAGATAGAAGCGGGGTCGCCGAACAGGAGGCGCATGCCAGACCTATTGTACATATTTTTAGTGGTAGGGGAAACCGGAGTACCCGGAGGAAACCTACGCAGACACGGGGAGAACATGCAAACTCCACTCAGAAAGGCCCTGGTCCGGCCGGGATTCGAACCCAGGACCTTCTTGCTGAGAGGCGAGAGTGCTATCCACTCAGCCACCGTGCCGCCCATATATGGGGTTCAGACGCGTTAAGGCGGATCGCCCATGAATGTGGAGCCAAAGACCCCACAATGTTGTCATCAACCAGGCTTCGAAAACAGATCGCTGCCCTGTCAGCTGCACTCAACATGACAGAACAGGAGCAGGACACATTGGGCCTTGGAGCAAGGCAGAATGTTAGAATTCAAGGAAGTGCCTGGATCAGATCCAAATTCATCCCCATGGTAATTATCATCATCAACATGTTGCCTTTTTATGAAACTAAAAATCTGGGGTTTTTTTCTCTATGTGGTACAGAGAAATTATCGAAGGTTAATCCTGACACAGAGGGGACGAAAGGAACTTCGGAGCCAATAACCACTTAGCCACGAGCAGCCGACGGGACTGCTGCAACATCGTCTGGTGAACTACAACTCCAGCACCAGGCCACTTCACTCTGCCACACACCCCCACATACAGCCCCCCGTGTGGGTCAACACTCCCTCACCACCACCACCAAAGGCCTCACCATCACCACCAACAAAGGCCTCACCACCACCACCACCAACAAAGGCCTCACCACCACCACCATCAAAGGCCTCACCACCACCACCACCAAAGGGCTCACCACCACCACCACCAAAGGGCTCACCACCACCACCACCAAAGGCCTCACCACCACCACCACCAACAAAGGCCTCACCACCACCACCACCACCAACAAAGGCCTCACCACCACCACCACCAACAAAGGCCTCACCACCACCACCACCAACAAAGGCCTCACCACCACCACCAACAAAGGCCTCACCACCACCACCACCACCAAAGGCCTCACCACCACCACCACCAAAGGCCTCACCATCACCAAAGGCCTCTCCATCAACACCACCAAAGGCCTCACCACCACCACCACCAAAGGCCTCACCACCACCACCACCAACAAAGGCCTCACCACCACCACCACCACCACCAACAAAGGCCTCACCACCACCACCACCAACAAAGGCCTCACCACCACCACCAACAAAGGCCTCACCACCACCACCACCACCACCACCAAAGGCCTCACCACCACCACCACCAAAGGCCTCACCATCAACACCACCAAAGGCCTCTCCATCAACACCACCAAAGGCCTCTCCATCAACACCACCAAAGGCCTCTCCATCAACACCACCAAAGGCCTCTCCATCAACACCACCAAAGGCCTCTCCATCAACACCACCAAGGCCTCTCCATCAACACCACCAAAGGCCTCTCCATCAACACCACCAACAAAGCCCTCTCCATCAACACCACCAACAAAGGCCTCTCCATCAACACCACCAACAAAGGCCTCACCACCACCACCACCAACAAAGGCCTCACCACCACCACCACCAACAAAGGCCTCACCACCACCACCAACAAAGCCTCACCACCACCACCACCAAGGCCTCACCACCACCACCACCAAAGGCCTCACCACCACCACCACCAAAGGCCTCACCACCACCACCAAAGCCTCACCACCACCACCACCAAAGGCCTCACCACCACCACCACCAAAGGCCTCTCCATCAACACCACCAAAGGCCTCTCCATCAACACCACCAAAGGCCTCTCCATCAACACCACCAAAGGCCTCTCCATCAACACCACCAAAGGCCTCTCCATCAACACCACCAAGGCCTCTCCATCAACACCACCAAAGGCCTCTCCATCAACACCACCAAAGGCCTCTCCATCAACACCACCAAAGGCCTCTCCATCAACACCACCAAAGGCCTCTCCATCAACACCACCAAAGGCCTCTCCATCAACACCACCGAAGGCCTCTCCATCAACACCACCAAAGGCCTCTCCATCAACACCACCAAAGGCCTCTCCATCAACACCACCAAAGGCCTCTCCATCAACACCACCAAAGGCCTCTCCATCAACACCACCAAAGGCCTCTCCATCACCAAAGGCCTCTCCATCACCAAAGGCCTCTCCATCACCAAAGGCCTCTCCATCAACACCAACAAAGGCCTCTCCATCAACACCACCAACAAAGGCCTCACCACCACCACCACCAACAAAGGCCTCACCACCACCACCACCACCAAAGGCCTCTCCATCAACACCACCAAAGGCCTCTCCATCAACACCACCACCAAAGGCCTCTCCATCAACACCACCAAAGGCCTCTCCATCAACACCACCAAAGGCCTCTCCATCAACACCACCAAAGGCCTCTCCATCAACACCACCAAAGGCCTCTCCATCAACACCACCAAAGGCCTCTCCATCAACACCACCAAAGGCCTCTCCATCAACACCACCAAAGGCCTCTCCACCACCACCACCAAAGGCCTCTCCACCACCACCACCACCAAAGGCCTCTCCACCACCACCACCACCAAAGGCCTCTCCACCACCACCACCACCAAAGGCCTCTCCACCACCACCACCACCAAAGGCCTCTCCACCACCACCACCACCAAAGGCCTCTCCACCACCACCACCACCAAAGGCCTCTCCACCACCACCACCACCAAAGGCCTCTCCATCAACACCACCAAAGGCCTCACCATCAACACCACCAAAGGCCTCACCATCAACACCACCAAAGGCCTCACCACCAAGGCCTCACCATCAACATCACCAAAGGCCTCTCCATCAACACCACCAAAGGCCTCTCCATCAACACCACCAAAGGCCTCTCCATCAACACCACCAAAGGCCTCTCCATCAACACCACCAAAGGCCTCTCCATCAACACCACCAAAGGCCTCTCCATCAACACCACCAAAGGCCTCTCCATCAACACCACCAAAGGCCTCTCCATCAACACCACCAAAGGCCTCTCCATCAACACCACCAAAGGCCTCTCCACCACCACCACCAAAGGCCTCTCCACCACCACCACCACCAAAGGCCTCTCCACCACCACCACCACCAAAGGCCTCTCCACCACCACCACCACCAAAGGCCTCTCCACCACCACCACCACCAAAGGCCTCTCCACCACCACCACCACCAAAGGCCTCTCCACCACCACCACCACCAAAGGCCTCTCCATCAACACCACCAAAGGCCTCACCATCAACACCACCAAAGGCCTCACCATCAACACCACCAAAGGCCTCACCATCAACACCACCAAAGGCCTCACCATCAACACCACCAAAGGCCTCACCATCAACATCACCAAAGGCCTCTCCATCAACATCACCAAAGGCCTCTCCATCAACACCACCAAAGGCCTCACCATCAACACCACCAAAGGCCTCACCATCAACACCACCAAAGGCCTCACCATCAACACCACCAAAGCCCTCACCATCAACACCACCAAAGGCCTCACCATCAACACCACCAAAGGCCTCACCATCAACACCACCAAAGGCCTCACCATCGCCAAAGGCCTCTCCATCAACACCACCAAAGGCCTCACCACCACCACCATCAAAGGCCTCACCACCACCAAAGGCCTCTCCATCAACACCACCAAAGGCCTCACCACCACCACCATCAAAGGCCTCACCACCACCAAAGGCCTCTCCATCAACACCACCAAAGGCCTTACCATCAACACCACCAAAGGCCTTACCATCAACACCACCAAAGGCCTCACCATCAACACCACCAAAGGCCTCACCATCAACACCACCAAAGGCCTCACCATAAACGCCACCAAAGGCCTCACCACCACCACCATAGGCCTGGCCAGGGCACCCCACACACCCCCAGACAAAGCCCCATGCGCGGGGACACTGACTGTTGGGAGTGTGTTTCTGATAAATTGTTTTTTTCTTTCTCCAGACTCAGGAAGAAAGCCATGGTCACCTTCTAACGCTGTTGAAAAGACACTGAGGCGCTCTGCTCAGCCTGCAGTGAAGCGTCTCCAGAGGAGCTCAGACGTCGCACATGGAGTGTTGTGGTTTGACAAAATAGACTCCAAACGCAGATCCAAGGAGTAACAAGTAAATTTTAATAAAACAAAAATCACTGGAGAACAAAAATAAAGTCCAAAACAAGCTCCAGGAATGTACTGGGAAAGCAGGTCCTCCACCTGAGGAAAATACAAAAACCACGTTAAACAAGTCCAAAAACAGTCTCTCAAAAGTCTCATAAAATTCGTTGATTCACCGCAGTCAAGGGACGAACTGGCACTGGCTGAGTGGATTTCCAGCAAACAAATACTTTCCCCGATTGGCCTGATGAGACACAGGTGGGCCCTCGCAGCAGGGTTAGGGTTAGGGTTAGGGTTAGGGGAGGGGAGTGAGAGACAGGAGCACCAAAAACTGCCCTCATGACAGTACCCCCCCTCCAACGGGAGCCCCCCGGCGACCCCCAGGCTTCTCCGGATGGCGCTGATGGAAGTCCCGCACCAACAGCGGATCAAGGATAGCAGAGCGAGGAACCCAGGACCGCTCCTCCGGACCGTAGCCGTCCCAATCCACCAGGTACTGCAACCCCCGGCCACGCCTGCGCACATCAAGCAGCTGGCGGACGGTGTAGGCAGGCGCGTCGTCAACGATCTGGGGGGGAGGAGGGGGCCTGGCCGGAGGGTTCAAAGAACTGGAGGAAACGGGCCTGAGCTGGGAGACATGAAAAACTGGGTGGATCTTCATAGAGGGTGGCAGAGTCAGACGAATGGCCATGGGGTTAACGACCCTCTCCACTGGGAAAGGTCCAATAAAACGTGGAGACAGCTTACGAGACTCAGTCCTCAGAGGAATGTGCTTAGACGACAACCAGACCTACTGACCTGGCTGATAGTCTGGAGCTGGGGTTCTACGACGGTCAGCTAAAGCACGGTTGCGTTCTGTGGTTCGTAAAAGGGCTGCACGAGTGTCTCTCCAAATCTTGTGACAACGCCGGAGATAGTGATGGACAGACGGTATTATCAGTTCCTGCTCCTGCTCTGGGAAGAGTGGCGGTTGATAGCCCAAAGAGGCTTCAAAAGGCGTAAGACCGGTAGCAGAACACAATTGAGAATTATGAGCATACTCAACCCAGGGGAGGTGTGTGCTCCATAGGGTCGGGTTGTCTGCCGCCACACATCTTAGTGCTGCCTCTAGCTCCTGATTGGCCCGCTCTGCCTGACCATTAGTTTGGGGGTGGAACCCTGAGGAGAGACTGACAGTTGCACCAATGGATTTGCAGAACAGCCGCCATACCTGAGAGGTAAACTGTGGCCCACGGTCCGAGACGATGTCTGCAGGAAGCCCATGTAGACGGAAGACATGGTTCACCAGGAGATTTGCCGTCTCCAGAGCTGTAGGGAGCTTCGGTAGTGCTATGAAATGACCAGCCTTGGAGAAACGGTCAACAATGGTAAGTATTACCGAGTTACCTTGGGACAGCGGCAACCCTGTGACAAAGTCCATGGAAATGTGAGACCAGGGCCTCGAGGGAACTGGAAGCGGCTGGAGGAGTCCAGAGGCCGGGCGATGAGAGGACTTGTTACGGGCACAGACAGAGCAGGCAAGGACGTACTTTCTGGTGTCCGCATCCATAGAGTGCCACCAGAAACGTCGTTTGAGCAGATTCAACATGCGAGAAATTCCAGGGTGGCAGGAAAAGCGAGCAGTGTGGACCCATTGTAGAACCTGAGAACGTACAGAGTTGGGTACATAGAGGCGGTTAGCGGGTCCATTACCTGGGTCTGGTTCTGTGCGTTGTGCTTCCATAATCCTTGCTTCAATCTCCCAGGAAATTGCTGCCACAACGCAAGTTGAAGGGAAGATGTTCTCCTGTTTGGAAGGAGTGTCAGAACAGGAGAACTGGCGGGAAAGGGCATCTGGCTTGACATTCCTAGTTCCAGGACGATATGTTAAGGTGAAGTTGAACCTGCTGAAAAACAACGCCCACCGGGCCTGTCTAGAATTAAGTCTCTTGGCTGTTTGAATGTATGACAGATTCTTATGGTCGGTCCAAACGATGAACGGTTGTTCAGCTCCCTCAAGCCAGTGCCTCCATTCCTCTAGTGCCAATTTGATGGCTAAAAGTTCACAATTTCCGACGTCGTAGTTTCTCTCTGCCTGAGATAGACGTCGAGAGAAGAAGGCACATGGATGCAGTTTCTGATCCGAGCTAGACCTTTGAGAGAGCACGGCTCCCACTCCAGAGTCCGAGGCGTCTACCTCAACAACAAACTGGCGAGTCGGATCTCCTTGCATCAACACGGGAGCAGTAGTGAAACGTTCCTTTAATCTCCTGAAAGCCGACTCAGCTTCCTCTGTCCAGGAGAATGGAATAGAAGATGAGGTCAGCTTGCAGAGCGGCTGGGCAACAGAACTGAAATTGCGAATGAAGCGCCGGTAGAAATTTGCAAAGCCCAGGAACTGTTGGAGCTTTCGGCAGCTGGTTGGCTGTGGCCATTCTAAAACTGCCTTAATCTTTTGGGGATCGGGCCTCACTTGTCCTGCTTCAATTATAAACCCCAAAAAAGACACAGTGTCGCAATGAAACTCACACTTCTCTGCCTTAACATACAACTTATTCTCTAGGAGTCTCTGTAGCACCTGACGGACATGTTTAACATGTTCGGCTGGGGACTGGGAATAAATTAAAATGTCGTCCAGATAAACAAACACAAAACAACCCAAGAAGTCTCGGAGAACGTCATTAACAAGAGCCTGAAAAACTGCTGGGGCATTGGTAAGACCGAAGGGCATAACTTGGTATTCAAAGTGCCCAATAGGGGTCTTAAAAGCGGTCTTCCACTCGTCACCCTCTCTAATGCGAACTAGGTGGTAAGCATTACGCAGGTCTAGCTTAGAGAAAATGACTGCCCCTTGTAATGGGTCAAAAGCAGATGTGAGCAAAGGCAGAGGGTATTTGTTTTTTAACAGTTATGTTGTTCAAACCACGATAGTCAATACAGGGTTGTAACGACTTGTCTTTCTTTTCAAAAAAAAAAAAGCCAGCACCGACTGGGGACGAAGACTGACGAATTAAGCCCGCCGAAAGAGACTCTGTTATGTATTTTTCCATAGCTTCCCTCTCTGGGCGTGAAACATTGTAAAGACGACTGGAGGGAAGTGTTGCCCCGGGAAGAAGCTCGATAGCGCAGTCATAGGGGCGGTGAGGAGGTAGGGACAGAGCCTTCTCTTTGCTAAACACCTCCACCAAATCATGATAGCATTTAGGGACATTAGACAGATCAGGGAATCTGGGAGTCTCAGAATGGCTATCGGGAACTGAGACTACAGCGGAACGGAGGCAGTTAGTGTGACAACTGTTACTCCAACCCGTTATGCTACCCTGAGACCAGTCAATGGAAGGGTTGTGTAGACTCAACCAGGGATGCCCAAGCACAAGTGGTGTGTGAGGAGACGAAATAATCTTTAACTGAATCTCCTCACTGTGGTTTCCGGAGAGGCAAAGGGTAACCGGAACTCAGCTCCAGAATCAATTAACGCAGGTAAGGGACAAGAAAAAAAACCAAGTCTAAGAGTTGCGGGCAGTAATAGTCTGGGACGGGTCTCTAATTCAGCATGACTCACCAATACTCCCAGAGCTATTGGTGAGTCTGGTCTTTTGGCTTTCTAGGACAAGTACCAATTAAGTAGCCCGATTCCCCACAATAGAAGCACTGACCTAACCTCAAGCGCTGCTGTTATTCCATAGGAGATAGGTGTGCTCTACCCAGCTGCATGGGTTCATCTGTTTCAACTGGAGCAGTATGTGGAAAAGTCTCAGCAGCGGTTTGAAGAGTTGTAGGACCATGTACCATTGGAGAGGGTCTCGAACGTCCAGCCTTCTCGCGGCGGCGCTCACATAGGCGATTATCTAAACAAATCACCAACGAAATGAGAGATTTGAAAGTGGTCTCTTTGTCTCTACAGGCTAACTCGTGCTTCAGCTGCTCATTTAGTCCTTTAATAAAAATTTCCATTAGCGCTTTGTCATTCCATCCTGAATCGGCTGCCATGGTTTGGAACTCGACAGAATAATCTACTGCGCTGCGACTTCCTTGCTGTATTGTAATAAGACGCTTTGAAGCACTGCCAGCGTAATCAGGGTGGTCAAAAACTTGACGAAAACGCTCAATAAAAAAGTTGAACCCCATAGAGGCCAAGGGGCTATCAGAATCTTCTGCCTCTGCCCATGTTAATGCCCTGCCACGCAATAGTCCCACCATGAACAGAATTTTAGACTTATCTGTTGAAAAGGTGGCAGGCCGGAGTTGAAAGACGTTCGAACACTGTAGTAAAAATCCTCTACAGCTTCCCAGGTCCCCATGAAAAGGCTCGGGATGTGGAACAGGCACTTCAGGCTTGGCAATAGAGTCCTGAGGAGTGGCAGGGGGAGAGGGCGGCTGGGCATAGGTAAGTAAGTAAGTAAGTAAGTTTTTATTTATATACCGCCTTTTCACTGCAGATCTGAGTCACAAAGCGGTTTACAATTGTTAATTTTGGGCATTTGTCTCTCACTCCACACAGAGATGGGAGCGGGGTCGCCAGTACAGGAAGCGCATGCCAGAACTATTGGACATATTTTTAGTGGTAGGGGAAACCGGAGTACCCGGAGGAAACCTACGCAGACACGGGGAGAACATGCAAACTCCACTCAGAAAGGCCCTGGTCCGACCGGGATACGAACCCGGGACCTTCTTGCTGAGAGGCGAGAGTGCTATCCACTCAGCCACCGTGCCGCCCTAGCATAGGCATAGGCTGTGGATGAAAGATGGCTGGTGAGTACAGACATTTGATGCATTAACTGAGTCATATGTGCAACCAGTTCCTGATTTCCTTGGACAAGATGGCGGAGCGTTTCTTCATGCTGGCCTAGCAGGATTCCTTGATGAGAGACAGCCTCTCTAATTGATGCAGGTGTGTCACCATAAGGAAGATCCGCTGGATTCATCTTGGCCAGTTCGTTCTGTTGTGGTTTGACAAAATAGACTCCAAACGCAGATCCAAGGAGTAACAAGTAAATTTAATAAAACAAAAATCACTGGAGAACAAAAATAAAGTCCAAAACAAGCTCCAGGAATGTACTGGGAAAGCAGGTCCTCCACCTGAGGAAAATACAAAAACCACGTTAAACAAGTCCAAAAACAGTCTCTCAAAAGTATCACAAAATTCGTTGATTCACCGCAGTCAAGGGACGAACTGGCACTGGCTGAGTGGATTTCCAGCAGGGACGTGCGGTGAGGTTTGTGATTGGGGAGGCACTGACTTTAAAAGTCAGATTTACAATCATTATTCAAATAAAACAGCATTTAATCACCAATGCAATGACATCCACAAACTTTATATACTGTAAAGATAAGAGAACCAGCTTCTTTTAATAATCTCACAACAAATCTAGCTGCTGACTCTGCTCCGCATCAAACAACATCTTTAAGAAGCGCAGGTGCGAGAGACGCGAGGAGAGAGAGACGCGAGGAGAGAGGAGCAGAGAGAGACAGAGAGGAGCAGAGAGACGGAGACGCGAGGAGCAGAGAGAGACGGAGACGCGAGGAGAGAGAGACGCGAGGAACATAAACAATAATTTAAACAAGTTGCAGAACTCTTGAGCAGTGTTTGAATCAGTGTTTTTCGGAAAAGCACTACTTTGCCGGTATCTGTCAATGTTCAACATAAAACACAGATTAACAAACTCCTCCCCCGCAGCCGGACTAACCTCGTAAGTCCAGTGGTGGTCTCCCAGTCTATATTAATTCTTTCTTTGTTTGAAAGTCCAATTGAGAAAAAAAATCTTCATTCAAATCATCCATTTTCCAGCAAAAGAAATAGCATTTTGGGCTGATTGTTTGTTAGCAACTCTGGTATGAACTTTATGCTCACTATCACCCCTAGCGGTGAGGCACAGATACCGCCTGCCTCACGCCAAGCTTTTTCCTTGTGTGTTCATCTACGATCAAAAGACTTAAACTAAATATAAATTGTACACACATACGTGCAATACACTACTAAACACTAAGAGGAGTTTAAAAAATGTTTTTAAAGCAGGATATTTGAAACAAACGGTGATATATCAACTGCACGAGCTGAGTGCACTCAGACACACACACACACACTGTGAGGGAGCGGTCTGAGGTGAGGCACGCAGGAGCGCTGCCTCACCTCGTCTCTTTGAATAGGAATAACGGGATTTCGGCGATTTTGACTTCAGAAATGATCAAAACTGATGGGAACCGTGCCGAATATACATTAAAAGCATAGGACAGTGGATATAAATTATATATTTAAACTAAAATAATTATTAGTTTCCAATAATGGCAGGTGAGGCTCTGCCTCCCCTGCCTCCCCTGCCTCCCCTGACTGCACGTCCCTGATTTCCAGCAAACAAATACTTTCCCCGATTGGCCTGATGAGACACAGGTGGGCCCTCGCAGCAGGCACCTGCAATGGGGGAGGAGACTCACAGACACACAAGGGGAGGGGAGTGAGAGACAGGAGCACCAAAAACTGCCCTCATGACATGGAGAGCGATTAAGTTCTATCTCAACAAAAGAATAACTTCAATTAAAAAAACACAAACCAAAATCAACTTTGCATGTGTCCAAAACCTGTTTTTACCAATTCCCCAGAGCAGAGGAACTCTAAATCGGGTGAGATTAGGCCCTAATAGGGCTGGGAGAACCAGACTGAAGACCTGAGCACTTCACCCAGGACAGTTGAACTCTGAATCAGGTGACATTAGGCATTCATATATTAATGCCTAATGTCACCCGCCACTAGCAGCAGCCCTGGCCTGGTCCGGGTTAGACCTGTGCACCAGTTGGACCTGAGTACCCAGCCTTAAGCACCCCTCCTCGGGCTGCAAACCCTCCGTGCGGACGGAAAAACTCTGTGTGTCTGGGGCTACAATCTCAAACACTTAGGTTTTTATTCAAAGTGTGTGTGTGTGTGTGTGTGTGTGTGTGTGTATGTGTGTGTGTGTGTGTGTGTGTGTGTGTGTGTGTGTGTGTGTGCACTTGTTTTCAACTCCTGGTGGGTTCCATAACCTGAGATTCCACTCACGTCATGGGGACTGGTTTTACGTGGTGGGGCCCGAACACCGGACCCCACTGGTCCAAGCTTAATAATCAATGGGTAATGCTTTTCTAACGGTCCTTATGCAGTCTCTGTAAAAATATGGAAAGGACCCCTGGAGGTTTACTTTCCTGAAAAAAGTGTGTTATGTGTCAGAACCCTGGTGGTGGGTTGCGGGATATCAAGGAGGGGCACACTGGGGCAATTTCAGTCCAGCAGGCTGGAGCCAATCATGGAGCAGCACAACAGAGGCTGGAGCCAATCATGGAGCAGCACAACAGAGGCTGGAGCCAATCATGGAGCAGCACAACAGAGGAAATCAGGTGTCAGGCTAGAAAAGGTGCAAGTGTGTGGTTCATTAGGCTGCAGCCAATCACAGAGCAGCACACTGAAGCGCACGCTTACAAACCACTGGTAAGTGCTGACTACAAGTCATGACTTCAAATTGTTATATAGAATTATTACTAATTATTTGTTGTTTGTGCAGCTTAGTCAAGAGTCCCTAATTTATGAAGTCGACTCAGATTCTGACGATTTAACTGTCAAGAAGAAACCTGTAAAAAAGTATGGAAAAAGAAAAATCAAAAACACTTTTCTTCAAGACTCGGAAAGTGACGAACCAAAGGCAAATAAGATTGTTATCATGCAGCTGCAAAAGAAGAAAAATGGGGGGCGAGTTGACAGCAAGAGACACTTCTGCCTCTACTGTTCAATGTCCTGCCACAAAATGTCCCGTCATTTGACTAGAAAACATGGAAATGAAAGTGACGTAGCCAGAGCATTGGCTCTACCTGTGAAGTCTAAAGCACGTAAACTTCAGTTTGATTTGATCAGGAATAGTGGAAACCGTGAGCACAATTTTGAGGTTTTAAAGGCCGGCATTGGAACTTTAGTCCCAGCTAAACAGCCAAATTCCCCAGTTAAATCCAGTGAGTTTTTGCACAGTATAGACTGTGGGGCATTGCTTAAGCGAAAGTCGCTGTGGAGGCATGTGGCCAGGTGCCGGCTTTCACAGAAAGATGCCCAGGCTAAACCAGGTAGAAGTAGGGTCCAGTCCCTCTGCTCCCTAGCCCAGCCTGTACCGGAGGGCATCAGCAAAATTTGGGCAATGCATCAGGATGAGGTCACGGGTGTTGTCAAAGCAGAAAAGGGGATTCTGAGACTCGGAGAGCACCTGTACTTAAAACACGGGCATGATAAGACTAAGCATGATTACATTAGGCAGAAAATGAGAGAAGTCGGCAGTGGCGGCCGGCCAATAGAGGGCGCTAGGGCGCCGCCCCACCACTCACAACTTGCCATGTTACCTTGAATAAAACGTTAAAAAAAATAATAACATTAAAATATTTCGAAATGTATGTGTGTTTTATTTCAGATGTGGAAGAAATACTTTATAGTTTATGCTGAGTTGGATTGATTAAGCTCATCAGCGTTGTCTGTGTCGGACTGAGGACGTATTTCCGCCTCAGGGCCCTGTGCCGTCTATGGACTCTCGTTAAAAGTTGTACATGCGCAGTAGCTCCTCTTCAATGCAAGAGATAAGACGATTTGGGGGCGCAGGAGAAGTGCGCCCTGAGGGGGCGGGATCGCCCGCGACCTGTACTGTCACTGTCTGTGACGTCCGTTTACAGTGATTGACAGATCAAGCTGTGGGAGTTTGAGACGAACGTAAAGAGACGCAAAATGGAGAACGAGAAAAAGAATAATTCAGTTAGATCACTCCAAACAATACCGTTTGAGAGAAGATCATACCAGGAGAAGGTTGAGGTTAAAGAGCTTGGACCTGATCAGCCAAATATTACCATTAGTCAGCAGTCCAGCGACAGGGGGAGACGGTACACTCATACTTTTTCCAGGACCTGGTTCAGCGCCAAATCTTGGCTAGCAGCATGTAGCGAGGCTAATGCTTTATTTTGCTTTCCATGCCTCTTGTTTCAAACATCAGGATCTGACCCAGCATGGATCAAGACAGGTATGACTGATCTGAAGCACTTTTTAGAAAAGGCAAAGAAGCATGAGCAGACTGGTATCCACATGCAAAATGCCCTCAAATTAGCTATGTTTGGGAAGATAAATATTTCATCCCAGCTGGATGAAAGCTACAGGGTAGGGATCAGAAAGCACAATGAGGAGGTTGACAAGAATAGGCACATCCTATCAAAAATAATAGACTGTGTCAAATTCTGTGGTGCATTTGAACTTGCCCTGCGAGGCCATGATGAAAGTGAATCCTCAGGAAATCCTGGTGTTTTCAGAGGATTGGTGGATCTTGTAGCATCACTGGATGCAGTACTACATGAACACCTGCAGACCGCCACTGTGTTTAAGGGGACATCTAAGACCGTACAGAATGAACTCCTGGACTGCATGCTGTCAGTCATGAGAGAGTGCATCATTGGAGAAATCAGGAGTGCAGACTTTGTCTCCATTCAAGCTGATGAAACAATGGATATTTCTACTCAGTGTCAGCTTGTGCTTGTGATTCGCTTCATCGATAAAGCCCATCATGTCCAAGAGCGTTTTTTTGAGTTTATACCTCTTCAAAGTGCCACAGCTGATTCCATCGCCACTGCACTTCTTCATAGGTTGAGCTCCATTCTCCCTGACGACCAGAGGAGCAAGCTCATTTCCCAAGCATACGATGGTGCAAGTGTCATGAGAGGAGCAACAGGAGGTGTACAGAAGAAAGTCCAAGATGTTTATGTAAATGCTCACTATGTCCACTGCTATGCTCATCAACTAAACCTTATCATGCAGCAAGTGACTTCCCATATCCCAAAAGTGAGTCATTTCTTTTCAGACCTGGCTGGATTCTCTAGCTTTTTCTCAAGATCTCCAAAGAGAACCAGCGTGCTTGATAGAGTGGTAGCCCACAGACTTTCAAGAGCAAGCACAGTGAGGTGGAACTTCCACATCCGAGCTGTGAACACTATTTTTGAGCACAAAGAAGACCTGCTCCAGTGTTTTGGAAACATCAGGGATTCAGGAGAGTTGGATCCTACCACTGTGAGAGAAGCTGGAGGGTTTGTGAGGCTGCTGGAGGATGATAGTTTCAGCTTCTTCCTGAATCTGTTCCATCTCATCATGCCACATGTGGATATTCTCTACAGCCAGCTCCAGAAGAGGACCATCGATTCTGTCTTTGTTCAGGGAATCATGCAGAAGTTCACAGACAACATACAAAAGATCAGGTAAATTGATGTGTATGTTGCAATGTTTAACCCTCTTGATGCATTAATTATTTAAAAAAGAGCCACATTTTTCCACATTTCAATATTTGAAAAGTGGAAAAGTGATGCTTTTCTTTATTTTGAAATATTATTAGACTTTTATTTTATTATCTATCTTTATCTATTCTATGAAAATATGAATAAAATATGTTCTCATAGTTATATAATAAAAATTCTGTAAAATCTAGCTTTATAATTTTCTTGTCCTGTTTATCACTGAGGCAAACTTCATAATTACAATTTATCAGATTTTACACTATATTATCTACTTTTCAGTCAGGGTCAGTGTATTGGATGACTCACTAATGTCCAGTGAAGTGGATCATTTGCTAAAATACCATCCTGACCCATGCAGATATTGGAAACCAGCGTTTAGATAGAGACATTGTAGAGAATATGCTATGCATTAAAGAATGAATATTACTGATATTGTATTAATCACTAGTATGCTTGAACCACTCAATAATCCTTGTAATTTTATGTGGTGACTTAAGATTAACTTTTCTCTTATTGGCTCTGTTCAGAGACTCCCTCTTCACTCTCTGTGGAGAACACAGTGGCAGTCGATCTCAGCTGGCCAAGAAACGCCGCACCCTGGGCCCCGGTGAACTTCAGAGGGTATCCACAGAGGTGAGATAGAAGCTTAATAGTAGTGCTATATTATGAGAAAGGAGGAACAAAGCTTTGAATAGGCCTTGTAATCCACTTTAATGAAGGCGCAATGTTAATTTGTGCTTATTACTATTCAATGAACACATATTTCTTCATGACAAACAGGCAGATTGATTGATTGATAAATAGATAGTTATTACATAACTTTCTAAATACTTGTATTAGAAAGCTGACTGATAGCCATCTCCACATTGTACTAAACTGGTGCATTCCTTTTATAGGTTTGTGACACCATCTTGGTCCATGCAAAGCAGAGATTTGCCTTCACAAAGCATCTGATCAGTGCTACACTGCTGCAGGCAGACAGATTTCAACAGTACCACAGCCAGTTCCCTGAAGCAGCACTAAACACCACTGTGGAGGCTTACCCAATGCTGAACAAGAACAAGCTGAAAACTGAACTGTCTCTCATCTACAGCAATGATGAGTTCAAGAGCTGCAGTAGTGCTGTGGCTCTCTACCAGCTTTTCATGGAGAACAATCTTCAGGACACCTTCTCAGAGACTGTTGCTCTGCTTAAGATCCTCATCACAACTCCCATGACCACAGCTGAATCTGAGAGGTGCTTCTCAACACTGAAGAGAATCAAGACCTTCCTTAGGAACACAATGTCACAGGATCGTCTCAATGCATTGGCCATGCTCTCGATGGAGAAGAATCTTATTAAAACCATCCCTGACTTCAACCAAAGAGTCATTGAGAAATTTGCTACTCTCAAGGACAGAAGGGCAAAATTTATGTACAAAAAATAAGTAGGACAGTAGTACTGTACATTTAATTGTACTGTTACTTTTGTTGTTTTAATGTAAATACTGTGATGTTATACATCAAAGTTCTCACAAATCTGTTGCTTACAGTCCAATCCAATCCACTTTATTTCTATAGCACAGGAATCACTCTGGATAAGGGATCTGAACACGGGGTACCCACATGGCCTTAATGACCAATTTTAAAAGAACTTGACCCTACCGAAACCACCCCCTCCCCCCTTCTCCTCCTCCATGTCTCCCTTGGGGTGTGTGGATGGAGGAGGAGGGGTTGAGCCTACGCCTGGACAGGTGGAGGAGTAGCTCGACCCCGGACAAGGGTTCTACTCCTTTGCTCTCCCCTCTTTCTTCCTTACCACCATCTTTTCCTTAGTTTAATCCTGGCCCAATTCCTCCCCCCTTCTCCTCCTCCGCGTCCCCTTTGGGTGTGCGGATGGGGGAGGAGGGGTTGAGCCTACGCCTGGACAGGTGGGGGAGTAGCTCGACCCCGGACAAGGGTTCTACTCCTTTGCTCTTCCTCTCCTCTTTGCGCCCACTTTTGCGTATTACTTTTTTATTACATGTTATGTACTTAATTCTTTCCCTGTTAAAACATTATTTAAGCCTCGAAAGAAACAAAGCAAATAGCGCAACTGTCAAAACCGGAGTAGAAGTCTGACTGCCCCCAGAAATATGTTTAACTCTAATGGGCAATGAGGAAAATACCAGGTGATCCTTTACATGTAAGTTTTGACCAACTCATCCTAGGCCTGAGCCCATCTCGTTCAAATACCAGGGATTATCAGTAAAGTTTTTTACTTTATAAATACCGGGTGTTCCATATTCATGTTATACGTTAAAAGGTTCTCAACTAACACCTGGCAACCTATTTTACTCCAATTCTGATCATTCCCTTGAGACTAACCCTGGTCCTACGGACCCAATCATCACCCCTAGCCCTAACCTTAACCCTAACTCCTGACTCCTAACGAAGTCAGTGGTTATATGGTGGTATTGTTGCTACGATAACTGTGGTCTTGATTATTTTGATTATCTCTTTGATCCAATTAATGCTCACTGCTAAGTGTGTCATTTATTTATTTGTTTATTTATTAATACCGTAAATCCTCTAATATTGGCCTGTATTCAATTACTGGCCGGGTTTCTAATAGTGGCCTGGCCCCCTGATGGCGGAGGCAAATAAAAGCCGGCCTCACATACAGGCCGGGGGCTTGGAAAAATAAATAAATACAATAGTTTTATGCTTAAAAGCACCACAAGATGGCAGTGTCTACCAACAAATCCTGGCCTAAGGCCTGATCATGTGACCTTGTTGATTCTCATGTGAGGCTTCAGTCACAACAGTCAGTGTAAACTTACTTACTGCTGGTATATATATAGTCATCATATTCATAGCCGACCCAATAGAAAATTCCACCAGCCGCCACTGGAAGTCGGTAGGTTAATTAACGAAGCAAAAACCGCAGGGAAACTGAAAACAATTAAGGATTTCTTTATTCCTTCCAACTTTAACCATGTGATTGATGCAGTCAGGTCTGTGACTGGATATGATGAGGAAACAAATCAATACAAGACTCCATCCTTGGCCCTCAAACTCGGCCATAGCCTCAGAAAGCTAGCAGATATTCTTGAATGTGACTCAAAAATGGAGCATTGTGTTGATGAACTATTTATTAAAAACCTCCAACGAAGCCGGCTGCTTTTTGAGAAGAGGTGGGACGTCTGTGTTTCTTCTGCTGCCCTACAGACCCTCCGGCAAGCCAAGTGGAACACTCCGGACCTGCTCCCTCTGACTGAGGACGTTAGAGCCATGCATGCACATATTGAGGTATGTCGACCTGAATATGTGCAAACCCTAATAAGTGAGCCAACGTCTAAGCATTGGTCTAAACTGGCAGTTTTGACTCTTTGTGAGGTCATTATTTTCAATCGAAGAAGGGAAGGTGAGGTTTCAAAGATGCCACTGACAGCGTTTACCTTAAGAAGTAATCAATCAATCAATCAATCAACGTTTATTTATAGAGCGCCTTTCCTACACAAGGCAACGCAAAGCGCCTCACAACCCATATAACATCATGCATAAATCATCAAACATTAGAATTTAAGTAAACATAAAAAGACAGATTAAGAGCACAAGATATATAAAATCACACAAGTAGTTAAAAACCGTAAAAAATTAAAATCACACAAGGGATTACAATCATAAATAATCATAAATAATCATAGCGCATTAAAAAGATTAAAGATAAAAACAAATGTAAAATCATTCACTTGTATGCACAGCTAAAAAGAACTGTTTTCAGTTCAGTTTTAAAAACTGCCAGAGTAGACGCCTGTCTCACACTCTCGGGAAGACGGTTCCAGACTCTAGCTGCATGAATCTGAAACGCAGCCTCCCCATGTCTAGTTCCGACAAGTAAGACTGGGATCCATTCTGACATTGCTCTGGGACTGTCCCAACTTGAGAAAAAGCTGTGTCAGCATTTTCAACGCATTGAAATTAAAGGGAAAAGAAGTGGGAAAGTGCCGGTTCTTTTGACTCCTGAAATGATTGCTTGGATGGAGGTGCTGGTGGAGAACAGAAGGGCCTGTTCCAACTCTGACCATAACCCATACTTCTTTTCCCGCCCGGGCGCAGACACCCACATCAGGGGATCAGACTCCCTACGCCAGGTAGCCAAAGAATGTGGTGCGGTGCATCCAGAGATGCTATCCTCAACCAAACTTAGAAAGCACATAGCTACTATGTCTACAGTTCTCAATATGAAAGAGAATGAGATGGACATACTTGCCAACTTCCTTGGCCATGACATTCGCATCCACAGACGATATTACAGACTACCAGAGGGGACACTGGAGCTGGCCAAAATCAGCAAAGTGTTGATGGCCATGGAGCAGGGAAGAGTGACGGAATTCGAAGGAAAGAGCCTCGACCAGATACAAATTGAGCCTGAAGGTAATTCTTGATATTATTAAAATATGTATGATTTTTTTCCCCTAAAGGCCACTTGTATTTTTATTTTCTGTGCTACAGGGAGAGCAGTAGAGATCCTCTCACAAACGGACGGGCTAAAAGAAACTTCAAGCGGAGAACCTTCAACCATTCATCCAGATGCACCCCATGGTAGTGGCAGTGCCCCTTCTGGTAAGTGTACCAGGTGGGGGATTACAGCCAGGCTGCTTGGTCCTAACCCTGGGAGTGTATATTGCTAATATATTTTTATTTCTCTCCCTAGAACGTGTAAGAAAGCCATGGTCTGCATCTGAGGTGAAGGCTGTGGAGAAGACCATGACACCTTTCATACAGACTGGAAAGGTCCCTGGGAAGTCTCACTGCCTGGCCTGCATTAATGCCTCACCAGATGACCTTAGACATCGGACATGGAGTGGCATTAAATTCTATGTCAAAAATAGAATCACTGCAATTCGAAAAAAAAATCTAAAATAAAATTCCTTTAAAAGAGTTGTTTGGTTTCTATTGACTGTTTTGTATTACTTAAAGTAGTCCCAGTAAAAAAAGATTATGTCTAGGGGTCCCATTCTGAACGGCCCTGTCAAAGGGACCCACCAGGTAACAAAAACGTGTGTGTGTGTGTCTGTGTGTGTGTGTGTGTGTGTGTGAGTGTGTGAGTGTGTGTGTGTCTGTGTGAGTGTGTGTGTCTGTGTGTGTGTGTGTGTGTGTGAGTGGCCTTGGTTGGAGTAACAATGAAAACCCTGCTCTGTGATTGGCTGTGCTCTGATGGCCCTGTATGCAGGCTGCTCTGTGATTGGCTGTGCTCTGATGGCCCTGTATGCATGCTGCTCTGTGATTGGCTGTGCTCTGATGGGTCTTGTATGCAGGCTGCTCTGTGATTGGCTGTGCTCTGATGGGTCTGGTAATCAGGCTGCTCTGTGATTGGCTGTGCTCTGATGGGTCTGGTAATCAGGCTGCTCTGTGATTGGCTGTGCTCTGATGGGTCTTGTATGTAGGCTGCTTTGTGATTGGCTGTGCTCTGATTGGTATCGTTTGTGCTTTATGTAGTTACGTAACGTCAGTGTGCACGAGGCTGTGATGGAGACAGGAGTGTGGCGCCCTCTGCTGGATGCACGAGGAACCACAGGGCTCTGAGGGAACTACACTGGGTTAAAGCTGAGGGACGTAACTTTAACAGTCAGTATCTACAGGTCCCTGTGAGTCAGTATTTACAGGTCCCTGTGAGTCAGTATGTCCCTGTGAGTCAGTATTTACAGGTCCCTGTGAGTCAGTATTTACAGATCCCTGTGAGTCAGTATGTCCCTGAGTCAGTATCTACAGGTCCCTGTGAGTCAGTATCTACAGGTCCCTGTGAGCCAGTATTTACAGGTCCCTGTGAGTCAGTATGTCCTGTGAGTCAGTATTTACAGGTTCCTGTGAGTCAGTATCTGCCTCTTTGGTCTGAGAGCTGATTGGCCTGAGAGAGGGGGGGTCCTCTCTTTGATCTAAACATGTGACATCACATATACATGAAACTAGAGACATGGGTTTAATGCAGTTCTATTGCGGTCCTGGTCTGGGTGCTGGTCTGGGTGCTGGTCAGACAGACACAGACTCTGCTTCAGATTATGTACAAGTTTATTTTCAAACTCTTCGTTGTCTCAAACACTTTCAACAAACAACAGAAAGAAAAGAAAAGGACTTTGGTGTGAGACGTTTCTCTGGTCTCCCTCTCTGGTCTCCCTCTCTGGTCTCCGGTCTCCCTCTCTGGTCTCCGGTCTCCCTCTCCGGTCTCCCTCTCCGGTCTCCCTCTCCGGTCTCCCTCTCCGGTCTCCCTCTCCGGTCTCCCTCTCCGGTCTCCCTCTCCGGTCTCCCTCTCCGGTCTCCCTCTCCGGTCTCCCTCTCCGGTCTCCCTCTCGGTCTCCCCTCCGGTCTCCCTCTCCGGTCTCCCTCTCCGGTCTCCCTCCTCTCCGGTCTCCTCTCTGGTCTCCCTCTCTCGGTCTCCGGTCTCCCTCTCTCGGTCTCCGGTCTCCCTCTCCGGTCTCCCTCTCCGGTCTCCCTCTCCGGTCTCCCTCTCCGGTCTCCCTCTCCGTCTCCCTCTCCGTCGGTCTCCTCTCTCTCCCGTCTCACTCTCCCGTCTCACTCTCCGTCTCACTCTCCCGTCTCACTCTCCGTCCTCCCTCTCCTCTCACTCCCCGTCTCACTCTCCCCTCTCACTCTCCCCTCTCACTCTCTGACCTCCCTCTCCCGTCTCACTCTCTGACCTCCCTCTCCGGTCTCCCTCTCCCGTCTCACTCTCTGACCTCCCTCTCCCGTCTCACTCTCTGACCTCCCTCTCCCGTCTCCCTCTCCGGTCTCCCTCTCCCGTCTCACTCTCCGGTCTCACTCTCTGACCTCCCTCTCCTGTCTCACTCTCCCGTCTCACTCTCTGACCTCCCTCTCCCGTCTCACTCTCTGACTTCCCTCTCCCGTCTCACTCCCTGACCTCCCTCTCCCGTCTCACTCTCCCGTCTCACTCTCTGACCTCCCTCTCCGGTCTCCCTCTCCCGTCTCACTCTCCGGTCTCACTCTCCGGTCTCACTCTCTGACCTCCCTCTCCCGTCTCACTCTCCCGTCTCACTCTCTGACCTCCCTCTCCGGTCTCCCTCTCCGGTCTCACTCTCCCGTCTCACTCTCTGACCTCCCTCTCCGGTCTCCCTCTCCGGTCTCACTCTCCCGTCTCACTCTCTGACCTCCCTCTCCGGTGTCTCTCTCTCTTAGCCCTGCACAGAACGAGTAAACCTCAAACATGTTTCAGTGATTCAAAGGTTGCTGGTGACAGATGTCCACAGGGCTCCAGCCAGGGGTCAGGGGTCAGGGCCAGAGGTCAGGACCAGAGCCAGAGGTCAGGGTTCAGAGGTCAGGGGTCAGAGGTCAGGACTAGAGCCAGAAGTCAGAGGTCGCTGCCTCTTGACTGTGAAGGATCTGTGTTATACAAAAAACTGCCTGTGACTCTCAACACAACATAACCATGAGTTTGTACATGTTCCAAGAGCTCACACCAGGAGGCGCTCCCTCCCACACCAGAGGCATTCTGGGACATGGAGTGTGCATACAGGCTTTAGGAGGAGCCCAGAGCAGAGGAGGAGGTGAACACTGGGGTTATACAGTGATGCAGTTTATGTTTATGTGAACAGTAGATACACAGGAGCTCAAGGGTTTTATTCTGCAGCGTTCTCCTCCTGCTGCTGCTCCTTCTGCTCCTCCTCCTCCTGCTGCTCTTCCTCCTGCTCCTGCTGCTGCTCCTCCTGCTCCTGCTGCTGCTCCTCCTGCTCCTCAGTACTCCCACTCGTCAGTCTTCATGTCCAGGTAGCTGAGGATGTTCTGGGCATACTTGACGGCCTGCTTGCGGGACACCTTGCTGGGCTCGTGTCCCTGTGGGTCCACGGCGTCCAGTGCCAGCAGCTGCTTGGTCAGCAGCTCCTCCAGCATCAGGAAGTTCTTATCTCCTCGTCTGCCCTGGAAGCTCAGCACCTGGGCCTGCAGCTCCGACAGGCTGACCAGCACTGACCACACACTGCTGTAGGCTGGGGGCTCCGAGGGGCACGGCTGACGGAAGGTCTGAGGACACAGGCACCAGCTGAGCACCAACCATGTGCAGAGAGAGACCAGAGAGAGAGACCAGAGCGAGACCAGAGAGAGACCAGAGAGAGAGACCAGAGCGAGACCAGAGAGAGACCAGAGAGAGAGACCAGAGCGAGATCAGAGAGAGACCAGAGAGAGACCAGAGAGAGAGACCAGAGAGAGACCAGAGAGAGACCAGAGAGAGAGACCAGAGAGAGACCAGAGAGAGAGACCAGAGAGAGACCAGAGAGAGACCAGAGAGAGAGACCAGAGAGAGACCAGAGAGAGAGACCAGAGAGAGAGACAAGAGAGAGAGACCAGGGAGAGACCAGAGAGAGACCAGAGAGAGAGACCAGAGAGAGAGACCAGAGAGACCAGAGAGAGAGGCCAGAGAGAGACCAGAGAGAGACCAGAGAGAGAGACCAGAGAGAGAGACCAGAGAGACCAGAGAGAGAGACCAGAGAGAGAGACCAGAGAGAGAGACCAGAGAGAGAGACCAGAGAGAGAGACCAGAGAGAGACCAGGGAGAGAGACCAGAGAGAGAGACCAGAGAGAGAGACCAGAGAGAGAGACCAGAGAGAGAGACCAGAGAGAGAGACCAGAGAGAGAGACCAGAGAGAGAGGCCAGAGAGAGACCAGAGAGAGGCCAGAGAGAAACCAGAGAGAGACCAGAGAGAAAGACCAGAGCTCACCAGCGCCTCCCGCAGGTCCAGAAAGGCGATGACAGCCTGCAGCTCCAGCACTGCCCTGCGCCGGGCCTCTCGGATGCAGGGGTTGCGGGCCGTGTCCACCTGGTCCAGGTGCGACACCAGCGACTGCAGCTCGGCTTTAGGTCTGAAGCTAAAGTCTCCCATGAAGCAACTCCTCAGGATGCCCTCCCGTAGCAGCGCCGCTTCTGATCTCACTCCCTCAATCTCACGGATCGACTCATTCTGGGACAAGTCGTACCTGCGACAGAGACCAGAGAGACCAGGGACCAGTGAGACCAAGGAGACCAGAGAAACCAGAGAAACCAGAGAAACCAGAGAGACCAGAGAGACCAGGGACCAGGGAGACCAGGGAGACCAGAGAGACCAGAGAGACCTGAGAGACCTGAGAGACCTGAGAGACCTGAGAGACCAGAGAGACCAGAGAGACCAGAGAAACCAGAGAGACCAGAGAGACCAGAGAGACCAGAGAGACCAGAGAGACCAGGGAGACCAGAGAGACCAGAGAAACCAGAGAGACCAGAGGGGCCAGGGACCAGAGGGACCAGTGAAACCAGAGAGACCAGAGGGACCAGGGACCAGAGAGACCAGGAACCAGTGAGACCAGGGACCAGAGGGACCAGTGAGACCAGGGACCAGAGAGACCAGAGAGACCAGAGAGACCAGAAGGGCCAGGGACAAGAGGAATCAGGTCTCCTGGTCTCCTCCTCCTCCCCTCCTGGTCTCCTCCTCACCTCCTGGTCTCCTCCCCCTCCTCCTCCAGGTCCAGGTGTCTCAGCAGCCCGTTGATCTCCTCCACCACCTGCTTCCTGTAGTTGCGGACTGCAGTGTTGTTGGAGACGTCCAGAGCGTCCAGCTCTCCCTGCAGCTCCGTCAGGATCCGAGACAAGTGAGCACAACTGTCTCTCCCACTGAGGCCCATGAGGAGAGAGACCAGCTGGACCCGAGCCACGCTCACCTGGTCACAGAGAGAGAGAGAGACAGACAGACACACACTGTGACGGAGTCATTGCTCTCTCCCTGTCACTAATGCCCTAGTTGTGCGTGCCCTCTGGCCACACTCCCCGGTGCGAGACACTCCCGCGCAGAGTGTTACAGACCACACTTAAGCGTGTTGTACTCACTGGTCCCACTGCGTGTTCTCAGGTCTCCACACATCACCTCACTTTGTCCCCTCCATAGCCCACACGCAGGGCCAGCCCAGGGCATAGGGCGCCATCTGCAGGATGGGGCGCAAAATTGCAGTCTTAAAAAAATAAAAAATAAATAAGTTTCCTTTTTTAATTATTCTGCTAAGTGTTTCCCATCACGTAAGATTGAAAAATACAGTTTATGTATACTATAAACTTAATCAAAATTGTCATCATTGAACTCTGCTGCTGTAAGCGGCTATCTTGTCGTGCCAAGGTGAGTAGGTGGGGGAGGGGCAGCCCCGCACATCTCACAAAGTGTGAAAGAAAGGTGGACGACGTTATTAAGAAAAGGCAGTCTACGTCAGGTGCAGCCAAACACCAAAGAAAAGAAGAGAATGAAAAACGGGCTCAAAGTAGAGGTATGAACAGAGACATGTGGCATATGGACAGATTAGAGTCTAAACTCTGGTTTGATCTTTAAATTGTCCAAAACGAGTCCGTTTTCACAGAGTTATGACTCTCTACAGAGTCCTGTTTGAGACAGAGTTATGACTCTCTACAGAGTCCTGTTTGAGACAGAGTTATGACTCTCTACAGAGTCCTGTTTGAGACAGAGGCAGACACTACACAACGGGCGGAAAATACGTGTGCGACGAGCGGCGCGTTTTAAACAGAGGCAAGAATGATGCACTTCCATCATGTTTATTAAATAAAGCAGTGAGCTGCTGTGAACCAGGACAACCAGGACTGAACCAGGACTGAGCCAGGACTGTGCCAGGACTGTGCCAGGACTGTGCCAGGACTGAGCCAGGACTGAGCCAGGACTGAGCCAGGACTGAGCCAGGACTGAGCCAGGACTGTGCCAGGACTGTGCCAGGACTGGGCCAGGACTGGGCCAGGACTGAGCCAGGACTGGGCCAGGACTGAGCCAGGACTGGGCCAGGACTGAGCCAGGACTGTGCCAGGACTGTGCCAGGACTGAGCCAGGACTGAGCCTGTTTAGGATTAACCAGTTTACACCAAGTTCAACACCCGATTCGATTATTATACTGAAATTAATATTTAAAAATGGAACTTGAGATTAAATCCTAATCCTTTTTTTACTACATATATTTGGAGAAAGTAACTTAAAAGTAATGCAGTTACACTTCAGATACAGTAAAATTATAGTGTAATACATTATTTTGACGCCTCCCTGGGGAGGTGTTCCGGGCACGTCCCACCGGGAGGAGGCCCCGGGGAAGACCTAGGACACGCTGGAGAGACTATGTCTCTCAGCTGGCCTGGGAACGCCTTGGGGTCGGACGAGCTGGAGGAAGTGTGTGAGAGGGAAGTCTGTTTTACGTTTTTGAAGTAACTTGCCCAACACTGATCAACAGCAGCTCCTTTAGGCTGTTTCTTACGTAAAAGTGGAAAGAGAAGCCGCGGGAAAGAGCCGCCACAATGCACATGTTAAAGGTTTGTGACTACATTCAGAGCACACTGTTCACTGTAATGCCCTCTACAAGTGTGCAAGGGGCGCCTGATGACCTAGGGCCGGCCCTGCCCACACGGGAACAGCATCCACGGCTCGCTGCAGCTCGGGGCACACCGGGTTCATGCTCTCCTCCTTCTGCGCAAGTAGTACCAGGTGGCCGTGTACGTAGTACCAGGTGACCGCGTACGTAGTACCAGGTGGCCGCGTACGTAGTACCAGGGGGCCGTGTACGTAGTACCAGGTGGCCGCGTACGTAGTATAATAATTTGAAATGAAATTAAACAATGAAAGGTTGTTTTTGTAAAGACTGTATTAATGATTTTGTGTAACGCCCGTGGGAGGGGCTTGGGGCTCAAGAGGGAGCTGTTTGGGCTGTGCAGGGAGTCTGTGATGCAGAGAGGGCAACATCGGGCTATCCTGTTAACCTGGTATCCTGGTATCCTGGTATCCTGGTAACCTGGTATCCTGGTATCCTGGTATCCTGGTAACCTGGTAACCTGGTATCCTGGTAACCTGGTATCCTGGTATCCTGGTAACCTGGTAACCTGGTATCCTGGTATACTGGTAACCTGGTAACCTGGTATCCAGAGATCCTGAGAGGTTATGTACCCAACTTATGCACATCTGTAAATATGTACATATATTGTTTTTCACACTTTTGTAAATAGCACTGGGAAAATAAACATTGTTTTTTTGACTGGCCATTGGTTTTTTGAGAAGTGTTCCCCCAACACACACACACAGAGACACATCCAGAGACACACACACAAACAGAGACACACACACAGACAGAGACACACACACAGACAGAGACACAGACAGAGACACACGGAGAGAGACACACAGGGAGACACACAGAGACACACACACACACAGACAGAGACACACACAGAGACACACACACACAGGGACAGCGACAGACAGAGACACACAGAGACACACACACACAGAGACACACACACACACAGAGACACACACACAGACAGAGACACATCTTTAAAGCTGGGGTCTGTAGCACGCTTCTAAAGTCCAGATGAGGGGGGTCGAGTGACCACAGTGAGTCTGAGGACCACAGTGAGTTAGAGGACCACAGTGAGTCAGAGACCACAGAGAGTCTGAGGACTACAGTGAGTAAGAGAGGACCACAGTGAGGACTACAGTGAGTTAGGGGACCACACTGAGTCAGAGACCACAGTGAGTCAGAGACCACAGAGAGTCTGAGGACCACAGTGAGTAAGAGAGGACCACAGTGAGTCTGAGGACCACAGTGAGTCTGACCTGGCCCATGATGGTGTTGATGTGGTGGACCGCTCGGTGAGTGTCGTCAGACAGTGGCAGAGAGAGAGTCTGCTGTGTACGGCCTTCTATCACCTCCTGCACCGCGCACACACGAGTCAGGGCTCTATACCGAGCTTTTCTCAGCGGGACACGACCTCCTGTCTTCACCTGAGAGGAGAGAGGAGAGGAGAGAGAGGAGAGAGAGAGGAGAGAGAGAGGAGAGAGAGGAGGGAGAGAGAGAAGAGAGAGGGGAGAGAGGAGGGAGAGGAGGGAGAGAGAGGAGAGAGAGGAGAGAGAGAGGAGAGGAGAGAGAGAAGAGAGAGGAGAGAGAGAGGAGAGGAGAGAGAGGAGAGAGAGAGGAGGGAGAGAGAGAGGAGAGAGGAGAGAGAGAGGAGAGGAGGAGAGAGAGAGAGAGAGAGAGAGAGAGAGAGAGAGAGGAGAGGAGAGAGGAGAGAGGAGGGAGAGAGAGTAGAGAGAGGAGGGAGAGAAAGGAGAGAGAGAGGAGAGAGGAGAGAGAGAGGAGGGAGAGAGAGGAGAGAGAGAGGAGGGAGAGAGAGAGGAGAGAGGAGAGAGAGAGGAGAGGAGGGAGAGAGAGGAGAGAGAGGAGAGAGAGAGGAGAGAGGAGAGAGGAGGGAGAGAGAGTAGAGAGAGGAGGGAGAGAAAGGAGAGAGAGAGGAGAGAGGAGAGAGAGCAGAGAGAGAGAAAGAGGACAGCAAGGAGAGAGAGGAGAGAGAGAGAAATGTCGTCTTTAAATAAAGGTTTGATATTTCAGTCAATTGTGACAGTAATGAGGTGTCTCTGTGCCCCTGTGTGTCTCTGTACCTGTGTACCTGTGTGTCTCTGTAACTGTGTGTCTCTGTACCTGTGTGTCTCTGTACCTGTGTGTCTCTGTACCTGTGTGTCTCTGTACCTGTGTGTCTCTGTAACTGTGTGTCTCTGTACCTGTGTGTCTCTGTACCCGTGTGTCTCTGTACCCGTGTGTCTCTGTACCCGTGTGTCTCTGTGCCCGTGTGTCTCTGTGCCCGTGTGTCTCTGTGCCTGTGTGTCTCTGTACCCGTGTGTCTCTGTGCCTGTGTGTCTCTGTGCCTGTGTGTCTCTGTGCCCGTGTGTCTCTGTGCCCGTGTGTCTCTGTGCCTGTGTGTCTCTGTACCCGTGTGTCTCTGTGCCTGTGTGTCTCTGTACCCGTGTGTCTCTGTACCCGTGTGTCTCTGTACCCGTGTGTCTCTGTACCCGTGTGTCTCTGTACCCGTGTGTCTCTGTACCCGTGTGTCTCGTGCCCGTGTGTCTCTGTGCCTGTGTGTCTCTGTACCCGTGTGTCTCTGTGCCTGTGTGTGTCTCTGTGCCTGTGTGTCTCTGTGCCTGTGTGTCTCTGTACCCGTGTGTCTCTGTACCCGTGTGTCTCTGTACCCGTGTGTCTCTGTGCCCGTGTGTCTCTGTGCCTGTGTGTCTCTGTACCCGTGTGTCTCTGTGCCTGTGTGTCTCTGTGCCTGTGTGTCTCTGTGCCCGTGTGTCTCTGTGCCTGTGTGTCTCTGTACCCGTGTGTCTCTGTGCCTGTGTGTCTCTGTGCCTGTGTGTCTCTGTACCCGTGTGTCTCTGTGCCTGTGTGTCTCTGTGCCTGTGTGTCTCTGTGCCCGTGTGTCTCTGTGCCTGTGTGTCTCTGTAACTGTGTGTCTCTGTACCTGTGTGTCTCTGTAACTGTGTACATGTGTGTCTCTGTACCTGTGTGTCTCTGTACCCGTGTGTCTCTGTACCCGTGTGTCTCTGTACCCGTGTGTCTCTGTGCCCGTGTGTCTCTGTGCCTGTGTGTCTCTGTACCCGTGTGTCTCTGTGCCTGTGTGTCTCTGTGCCTGTGTGTCTCTGTGCCTGTGTGTCTCTGTGCCCGTGTGTCTCTGTGCCTGTGTGTCTCTGTACCCGTGTGTCTCTGTGCCCGTGTGTCTCTGTGCCCGTGTGTCTCTGTACCCGTGTGTCTCTGTACCCGTGTGTCTCTGTACCCGTGTGTCTCTGTGCCTGTGTGTCTCTGTACCCGTGTGTCTCTGTACCCGTGTGTCTCTGTACCCGTGTGTCTCTGTACCCGTGTGTCTCTGTACCCGTGTGTCTCTGTACCCGTGTGTCTCTGTACCCGTGTGTCTCTGTACCCGTGTGTCTCTGTACCCGTGTGTCTCTGTGCCCGTGTGTCTCTGTGCCCGTGTGTCTCTGTACCCGTGTGTCTCTGTACCCGTGTGTCTCTGTGCCTGTGTGTCTCTGTACCCGTGTGTCTCTGTACCCGTGTGTCTCTGTACCCGTGTGTCTCTGTACCCGTGTGTCTCTGTACCCGTGTGTCTCTGTGCCCGTGTGTCTCTGTGCCCGTGTGTCTCTGTGCCCGTGTGTCTCTGTGCCCGTGTGTCTCTGTACCTGTGTGTCTCTGTACCTGTGTGTCTCTGTACCTGTGTGTCTCTGCACCTGTGTGTCTCTGTACCCGTGTGTCTCTGCACCTGTGTGTCTCTGTGCCCGTGTGTCTCTGTGCCCGTATGTCTCTGTGCCTGTGTGTCTCTTTACCTGTGTGTCTCTGTGCCTGTGTGTCTCTGTACCTGTGTTTCTGTACCTGTGTCTCTGTACCTGTGTCTCTGTACCTGTGTCTCTGTACCTGTGTGTCTCTGTGCCTGTGTGTCTCTGTGCCTGTGTGTCTCTGTGCCCGTGTGTCTCTGTGCCTGTGTGTCTCTGTACCTGTGTCTCTGTACCTGTGTCTCTGTACCTGTGTTTCTGTACCTGTGTTTCTGTACCTGTGTGAGTCTCAGCACCAGTCCCTGTAGCGCCTCTACCAGCTCGTCACTAATGTCTGCAGCGCCTCCTGCCCTCTGGGGGGCAACGATGGTCTGCTCCACCAGGTGTCGAGCCTCGTTGCTCAGCTCCTCGATGGTCAGACGTTGTGGGTGTGTGGCGTTTTCCTCCAGGTGCCGCAGTAAGCCCTCCACCTCCTGAGCTGCTCGCTTACGAGCTGCCTGCAGCTCCATCAGGCTCTCAGTGTCCACCTGCAGGACAGAGACAGGTGAGACAGAGATACAGGTGAGACACAGAGACAAGGGAGACACAGAGACAAGTGAGACACAGAGGCAGGTGAGACAGAGAGACAGGTGAGACACAGAGACAGGTGAGACACAGAGACAAGTGAGACACAGAGACAAGTGAGACACAGAGACAGGTGAGACAGAGATACAGGTGAGACACAGAGACAAGGGAGACACAGAGACAAGTGAGACACAGAGGCAGGTGAGACAGAGAGACAGGTGAGACACAGAGACAGGTGAGACACAGAGACAAGTGAGACACAGAGACAAGTGAGACACAGAGGCAGGTGAGACAGAGAGACAGGTGAGACACAGAGACAGGTGAGACACAGAGACAGGTGAGACACAGAGACAGGAGAGACAGTTGAGACACAGAGACAGGTGAGACACAGAGACAGGTGAGACAGAGAGACAGGTGAGACAGGTGGTCTCTCTCTGAACGGTCCCTCTCTGGTCTCTCCCTCTCTGGTCTCTCCCTCTCTGGTCTCTCCCTCTCTGGTCTCTCCCTCTCTGGTCTCTCTCTCTGGTCTCTCTCTCTGGTCTCTCTCTCTGGTCTCTCTCTCTGGTCTCTCTCTCTCTGGTCTCTCACCTGGTCCACTTCCAGCTGCAGCCTGGCTAGCTCTCTCTCCAGCCTCTTGTACTCGCGGTCGTGCTGGAGGCCGCTGAAGGAGCAGACGTGAGGAGCGAGGGCTGCCACCTCCCTGTGGACCTGGTCGAGGCGGGTGAGGGCCGGGTGAGGCTGCAGGGAAAACCCAGGGACACTGAACCCGGGGACACTGAACCCAGGGGCACTGAACCCAGGGACCATGAAGGCCGGCACGGAGAAACCAGGTGGAGGAGGCTGTGTCTGTGGAGGAGACTGAGGCGTGCTGGGATCCATGCGCTTACCACCATCAAAGGGCTTCCCGAACAGGCTGAGGACACAGGGGACAGAGGACATGACACACAGAAGACACAGTCTCCCCCAGTCCTCATAAGTCCCCATCCCCCGGTCCTCGTAAGTCCCAATCCCCCGGTCCTCATAAGTCTCCATCTCCCAGTCCTAATAAGTCTCCATGGCACCAGTCCTCATAAGTCTCCACCCCCCAGTCCTCATAAGTCTCCATCCCCAGCCCTCATAAGTCTCAATCCCCCAGTCCTCATACGTCTCCATTCCCCTGGTCCCCATAAGTCTCCATCCCTCGGTCCTCATAAGTCTCCATCCCTCGGTCCCCATAAGTCTCCATCCCTCGGTCCCCATAAGTCTCATGTTGTGTGTAATGTGTTGTTTCACTGACATCAAACACCAGGAACTCAAAGTTTACAATCTACGCTTAAGGGAGTAAAAACAAGGAAACAGGCTGTGAAACCAGTCTTACAGGATAGACCAGAGAGAGAGACCAGAGAGAAACCAGAGAGATACCAGAGAGAGAGACCAGAGAGAGAGAGCAGAGAGAAACCAGAGAGAGACCAGAGAGAGAGAGACCAGAGAGAGAGAGCAGAGAGAAAGCAGAGAGAAAGCAGAGAGAGACCAGAGAGAGACCAGAGAGAGAGACCAGAGAGAGAGACAAGCAAGAGAGACCAGAGAGAGAGACCAGAGAGAGAGACCAGAGAGAGAGACCAGAGAGAGAGACCAGAGAGAGGGACCAGAGAGAGGGACCAGAGAGAGCGAGACCAGAGAGAGACCAGAGAGACCAGACAGAGACCAGAGAGTCGTATGGTGTGAGGTCTGTACTCACCGCAGCTGCCTCCTCTCCCTTTCAGTGATCTCCCTCACCCCCATCTCCCCCATTAGCTCTATGATCTCCCTCACCTCCGTCACCTGCCTCACCTCCGTCTCTCTCCTCTTCAGCCTAGTGCCCCCCATTTCCCCCATCAGCTCCCTCACCCCTTCCCTTTCCTCTCTCCCCCGTCTCCCCCCTCTCACACAGTCTTTGTCTGAGGACATGGAAGACTCTCACTGAGACAGACTGAAATAATACTACTGGATACATCTCAGCTTTCACTTTTAAACCTGAACAACCAGTTCTCACAGAGACCAGAGAGAGACCAGAGAGAGAGAGACCAGAGAGAGAGACCAGAGAGAGAGACCAGAGAGAGACCAGAGAGAGAGACCAGAGAGAGACCAGAGAGAGAGACCAGAAAGAGAGACCAGAGAGAGAGACCAGAGAGAGACCAGAGAGGGAACAGAGAGAGACCGAAGAGAGACCAGAGAGAGAGACCAGAGAGAGACCAGAGAGAGAGAGACCAGAGCGAGACCAGAGAGACCAGAGAGAGAGGCCAGAGAAAGACCAGAGAGAGACCAGAGAGGGAACAGAGAGAGACCGAAGAGAGACCAGAGAGAGAGCAGAGAGAGAGCAGAGAAAGAGACCAAAGAGCGACTGGAGAGAGACCACAGAGAGACCACAGAGAAACCACAGAGAAACCACAGAGAAACCAGAGAGAGACCAGAGCGAGACCAGAGACAGACAAGGGAAAGAGAGACCAGAGAGAGACCAGGGTTAAAGTGAGTTCTAAAGCAGATCAAAAGCAGGACTAAAGCAGGACTAAAGCCGGTCTTAAGCAGGTCTTAAGCAGGTCTTAAGCAGGTCTTAATATCCACACATGTCCGTGCGTCTCCATCCACGACTCAGCCTCAGCACCACGCCTCTCTCCCCCCCCCCCTCCTCCTCCCCCTCACGGTGCTTCACTCACCCCTTTATGGCCCCGAACACGTGCGCACACATGGCTGCGGAAGGGCACCTATCCCCGGGCTGTAGCTGGGAGCATCCCCCGGAAAGGCTCCAGGCAGAGGGTGTGTGAGGACCGTGACAGGAGAGAGGACAGAGACTGCGGTATCCGGGACTGACAGAGCATGCGCAGAGCTGCTTCTGCCCAGAGAGGGGAGGGGAGGGGGGAGAGGAGAGGAGAGAAGAGGAGATGGGAGGAGAGGGGAGGGGAGAGAGGAGCGTGGAGAGAGGAGCGGGGAGAGAGTGCTGCCCCCCAGCGCTGGAGGAAGGCACTGCTGATGTGTTCTATGTAGATTTAGACCTGCTTTAGACCTGCTTTGGACCTGCTTTGGACCTGCTTTGGACCTGCTTTGGACCTGCTTTAGTCCTGCTTTAGTCCTGCTTTAGTCCTGCTTTAGTCCTGCTTTGGACCTGCTTTAGACCTGCTATAGACCTGCTATAGACCTGCTATAGACCTGCTATAGACTTGCTATAGACCTGCTATAGACCTGCTATAGACTTGCTATAGACCTGCTATAGACTTGCTATAGACCTGCTATAGACCTGCTATAGACTTGCTATAGACCTGCTATAGACTTGCTATAGACCTGCTATAGACCTGCTATAGACCTGCTATAGACCTGATTTAGTCCATGTAAACAGGACCATGTACACCGGGCGCAGATGGTTCTTGTAAACAGGACCATGTACACCGGGCGCAGATGGTTCTTGTAAACAGGACCATGTACACCGGGCGCAGATGGTTCTTGTAAACAGGACCATGTACACCGGGCGCAGATGGTTCATGTAAACAGGACCATGTACACCGGGCGCAGATGGATATTGTAAACGGGACCATGTACACCGGGCGCAGATGGTTCATGTAAACAGGACCATGTACACCGGGCGCAGATGGTTCATGTAAACAGGACCATGTACACCGGACGCAGATGGTTCATGTAAACAGGACCATGTACACCGGGCGCAGATGGTTCATGTAAACAGGACCATGTACACCGGGCGCAGATGGTTCATGTAAACAGGACCATGTACACCGGGCGCAGATGGTTCATGTAAACAGGACCATGTACACCGGGCGCAGATGGTTCATGTAAACAGGACCATGTACACCGGGCGCAGATGGTTCATGTAAACAGGACCATGTACACCGGGCGCAGATGGATATTGTAAACGGGACCATGTACACCGGGCGCAGATGGTTCATGTAAACAGGACCATGTACACCGGGCGCAGATGGTTCATGTAAACAGGACCATGTACACCGGGCGCAGATGGTTCATGTAAACAGGACCATGTACACCGGGCGCAGATGGTTCATGTAAACAGGACCATGTACACCGGGCGCAGATGGTTCATGTAAACAGGACCATGTACACCGGGCGCAGATGGTTCATGTAAACAGGACCATGTACACCGGGCGCAGATGGTTCATGTAAACAGGACCATGTACACCGGGCGCAGATGGTTCATGTAAACAGGACCATGTACACCGGGCGCAGATGGTTCATGTAAACAGGACCATGTACACCGGGCGCAGATGGTTCATGTAAACAGGACCATGTACACCGGGCGCAGATGGTTCATGTAAACAGGACCATGTACACCGGGCGCAGATGGTTCATGTAAACAGGACCATGTACACCGGGCGCAGATGGTTCATGTAAACAGGACCATGTACACCGGGCGCAGATGGTTCATGTAAACAGGACCATGTACACCGGGCGCAGATGGTTCATGTAAACAGGACCATGTACACCGGGCGCAGATGGTTCATGTAAACAGGACCATGTACACCGGGCGCAGATGGTTCATGTAAACAGGACCATGTACACCGGGCGCAGATGGTTCATGTAAACAGGACCATGTACACCGGGCGCAGATGGTTCATGTAAACAGGACCATGTACACCGGGCGCAGATGGTTCATGTAAACAGGACCATGTACACCGGGCGCAGATGGTTCATGTAAACAGGACCATGTACACCGGGCGCAGATGGTTCATGTAAACAGGACCATGTACACCGGGCGCAGATGGTTCATGTAAACAGGACCATGTACACCGGGCGCAGATGGTTCATGTAAACAGGACCATGTACACCGGGCGCAGATGGTTCATGTAAACAGGACCATGTACACCGGGCGCAGATGGTTCATGTAAACAGGACCATGTACACCGGGCGCAGATGGTTCATGTAAACAGGACCATGTACACCGGGCGCAGATGGTTCATGTAAACAGGACCATGTACACCGGGCGCAGATGGTTCTTGTAAACAGGACCATGTACACCGGGCGCAGATGGTTCATGTAAACAGGACCATGTACACCGGGCGCAGATGTGACCAGAACACCAGCCCACACCCTCATGTTAAACTGGGCTTCACACTGATCTGTATTTAATGATCCGTGTCCAGCACACACTCACATCCAACACAACATGACCGAACAAGTCTGTTTAGAGCCCATCAGTGTTTGGTTTCTGTGCTGTCACCTGAGCTGATCCCACCGCCGGCACAACAACTCCTCATGTAGAGACAGAACCAGATGCATGTGGTTAAAGTGTGTTCACGGGAGTCTCACCTGCATAGCCAGCGCACCGCCATCGGAACAGTCCCCAAGAGCAGTGTTTCTGATGCTCCACATTAGTACATTAGCATGCTAAAGCTAGCGGCGCTCAGTGTTTGTAGCACATTAGCATGCTAAAGCTAGCGGCGCTCAGTGTTTGTAGCACATTAGCATGCTAAAGCTAGCGGCGCTCAGTGTTTGTAGCACATTAGCATGCTAAAGCTAGCGGCGCTCAGTGTTTGTAGCACATTAGCATGCTAAAGCTAGCGGCGCTCAGTGTTTGTAGCACATTAGCATGCTAAAGCTAGCGGCGCTCAGTGTTTGTAGCACATTAGCATGCTAAAGCTAGCGGCGCTCGCGGATTACGCTGGGATGCTAAAGCTAACAGAGTTTAGGTCCAGGATGGAGACGCAAAGAGTGGATTTAACAATATAAACAAAGCCGTTTTAATGTTTAAAACACAGCCACAGACGTGTCGCAGTGGACACAGTGTTTAAAGCCTGTTGTTTCTGTGAGATGTGGAGTTAAAAACGTCCAAACGCAGCGGGAGGAGGCTCTCCTCATAGCAACAGAAGCAGCTCCAGACAATAACACAAGTCATTATGTTTCTACTCATTCTGCTGTGATGACTTGTAATACACGTACTCAATCATCAATAAGGATTTTAATAATATAAATAATGTATTATTATTGTTATTATCATTAATAATGACAATAATAATAATAATAATAATAATAATAATAATATCAATACCAATATTATTCTGATAGTAATGATTCTATTTCTGTTTTTCATTCTGTTTTTTTTTTTTATTTCAACTAAGCATATATTTTTTTAAATAATTTATTTCAGGGCATTCAATTTGTTTTTCCTCATGTATAATAATAATAATAAGGATAATAATAATAATAATAATATTATTATTAATAATAATGATGATAATAAAAGCAACAACAATAATATTACTACTAAAATAAATATTATAGTATATTATTATAACACAAATAAAAGAAACAACATCAAAAGCACATAACTTACACCAGTGTCTCCCAAAGTGGGGTCCGCGGCCCCCTGGTGGGCCGCGAGGGTACTGCAGGGGGGCCGCGGGAGGTCATAAAAAAAATAAAAAAATAATCCATCCATCCATCCATCCATTTTCTACCCTTTAATCCATTTCTGGGTCAGGGGGGTGGCAGTCAGAGATGCCACCCAAGTCTCATAGCACCAGCCCCTCACTGACCCTCTGCAGGTGGTGAGTCCACAGGAGGACGGCTGCTCTCTGACTGTGAGCATAGCCTTGATCTTTCAGTGGGGGCTTTGGGCAAAGTGGGGTTAAGTGTCTTGCCCAAGGACACAACGACAGCAGTCATCAGTGGGAGTCGATGGAGAAGGTGCAGAGGTGGGAATTGAACCCACGACCTTCTGGCCTTAAGGCCAATGCTCTGCTCTACCAACTGAGCTACTGTCGCCCTAAAAAAATAATATAATTATTTAATGTTAAATTTATAATGTTTTGTTTGTAATATTAAAATATTTGTGTTCATTATTTGACTTGAATAAGCCACTGTAATCATTTTTGTATTACAATGTTTGTAGCAGAGGCTATTTCCCCAAAATAAAATAACCAGAAGAGCCTATTCTTAATGTTGTCTTCTTGGTTATTATTTTGGGGGGCCACGCAGACCCGACAGATTTTTAAGGGGGCCTCGGTGTTACTGAGTTTGGGAATGGCTGACTTACACTAACAAGCGTAACAGTGAATGATTGACGGTCCAACACCGCCCCCTGTTGTTCGCTTCTGAGACCGCGCCACTGGTCACATCCAAATCCGAAAACAAACCCCCTTTTCTGTCTTTTTAAAGTGGTTCACCAGAAGTTTGTTTACAAAAACTGCAGAAGTTTAAAGACCTTTTAGATATTCTACTGGGATTGAGTATAAAGGCAGCGTCTGTGTTTTCAGAAGCAGCCAATTCTAAAAAAAAAAACACATTTCTCTTGTGAACAGCATCACAATAATGTTAGCTAGCATCCTCCAAGCACCATCAAAGATAATAATTCTGGATTATCAGAGAGAAGTGAACGAAAACACTGTGAGTCCTGGGCCTGCTTTTGAACTGAGGGTTAAGTCACCTTTATTTATATAGCACCAGACAGAAACAGTACGATTAAACTTCAAACTTTATCTGGTATACATTTCAAGAGAGGGAGCAGCGGCTCTACTCCGAGCTCCTCCCGTGTGACTGAGCTCCTCACCCTATCTCTAAGGGAGCAGCGGCTCTACTCCGAGCTCCCTTGTCTATCCCTGGTCTCTATCTCTGGTCTCTCTCTCTGGTCTCTCTCTGGTCTGCCTCTGGTCTCTCTCTGGTCTCTCTCTGGTCTCTCTCTGGTCTCTCTCTCTGGTGTCTCTCCCTTGTCTCTCTCTGGTCTCTCTCTGGTCTCCCTCTGGTCTCTTCCCCTCCCTCTCTCACATGAACCTTTGGCCCGGAGGTGGCTCTAAATGAGGGGTGTGTCGTCTAATATTAGCCCCGTGGAGAACCCCCTTTCCCCTCCCCCCACCTACAATGCCTCCCCCATGCCTCCCTCTTGACTTGGGTCTTCTCCGGTGTCACTTCCACGACTGGAGCTCCCAGTGCCCTCTGCAGCCCCAGTCCCCACAGGACGCACTCTCTCAGGGACAGTCCAACAGAACCACGGAGCCCAGCTGTCCTTCAGGTCAGTGTTCTACTGAGACTTAGACCTAGGACTGAGGCTGTAGACCCAGGACTGAGGCTTAGACCTAGGACTGAGGCTGTAGACCCAGGACTGAGGCTTAGACCCAGGACTGAGGCTGTGACATTTATCAACATTCATGGACATTGGTCTCTCTATGGACCGATACATATGTGTATATTTTGTGCTCTGATCTGTGTTGGTGATTTCAATGGTTTTGTTAAGTCTCTGAGATGATGCTGCTCCTCTCCACGTGGAGAAGCAGCGGCTCTACTCCGAGCTCCTCCTGTGTGACTGAGCTTCTCACCCTATCTCTAAGGGAGCAGCGGCTCTACTCCGAGCTCCTCCCGTGTGACTGAGCTCCTCACCCTATCTCTAAGGGAGCAGCGGCTCTACTCCGAGCTCCTCCTGTGTGACTGAGCTCCTCACCCTATCTCTAAGGGAGCAGCGGCTCTACTCCGAGATCCTCCTGTGTGACTGAGCTCCTCACCCTATCTCTAAGGGAGCAGCGGCTCTACTCCGAGCTCCTCCTGTGTGACTGAGCTCCTCACCCTATCTCTAAGGGAGCAGCGGCTCTACTCCGAGCTCCTCCCGTGTGACTGAGCTCCTCACCCTATCTCTAAGGGAGCAGCGGCTCTACTCCGAGCTCCTCCCGTGTGACTGAGCTCCTCACCCTATCTCTAAGGGAGCAGCGGCTCTACTCCGAGCTCCTCCCGTGTGACTGAGCTCCTCACCCTATCTCTAAGGGAGCAGCGGCTCTACTCCGAGATCCTCCCGTGTGACTGAGCTCCTCACCCTATCTCTAAGGGAGCAGCGGCTCTACTCCGAGCTCCTCCCGTGTGACTGAGCTCCTCACCCTATCTCTAAGGGAGCAGCGGCTCTATTCCGAGCTCCTCCTGTGTGACTGAGCTCCTCACCCTATCTCTAAGGGAGCAGCGGCTCTACTCCGAGATCCTCCTGTGTGACTGAGCTCCTCACCCTATCTCTAAGGGAGCAGCGGCTCTACTCCGAGCTCCTCCTGTGTGACTGAGCTCCTCACCCTATCTCTAAGGGAGCAGTGGCTCTACTCCGAGCTCCTCCTGTGTGACTGAGCTCCTCACCCTATCTCTAAGGGAGCAGTGGCTCTACTCCGAGCTCCTCCTGTGTGACTGAGCTCCTCGCCCTATCTCTAAGGGAGCAGCCACTCTGCGGAGGAAGCTCATTTCGACCACTTGTATCCGCGATCTCGTTCTTTCGGTCATTACCCAAAGCTCATGACCATAGGTGAGGGAGCTCTGACTGCAGACGCTGCTCCCTCATGACCATAGGTGAGGGAGCTCTGACTGCAGACGCTGCTCCCTCATGACCAGAGGTGAGGGAGGGAACAAAGAATGACCGGTTAATCGAGAGCTTTGACTTTCAGCTCAGCTCCATCTTCACCACGACAAACATGGTCCACTCAGACTCGATGTCCCCTCCTCCGCCGGGACCTGGGAGAAGCTCTCCTCCGTCGGGACCTGGGAGTAGCTCTCCTCCGCCGGGACCTGGGAGTAGCTCTCCTCCGCCAGAACCTGGGAGAAGCTCTCCTCCGCCGGGACCTGGGAGAAGCTCTCCTCCGCCGGGACCTGGGAGAAGCTCTCCTCCGCCGGGACCTGGGAGAAGCTCTCCTCCGCCGGGACCTGGGAGAAGCTCTCCTCCGCCGGGACCTGGGAGAAGCTCTCCTCCGCCGGGACCTGGGAGAAGCTCTCCTCCGCCGGGACCTGGGAGTAGCTCTCCTCCGCCAGAACCTGGGAGAAGCTCTCCTCCGCCGGGACCTGGGAGAAGCTCTCCTCCGCCGGGACCTGGGAGAAGCTCTCCTCCGCCGGGACCTGGGAGAAGCTCTCCTCCGCCGGGACCTGGGAGAAGCTCTCCTCCGCCGGGACCTGGGAGAAGCTCTCCCGGAGGTGAGAGTTGAAAGTCCGTCTGACAGGGGGCTCAGCGAGACGTTCCCAGCAGACCCTCACTACACGCTTGGGTCTGCCAGGTCTGACCGACCTCTTCCCCTGCCAGCAGATCCAACTCACGACCAGGTGGTGATCGGTGACAGCTCCGCCCCTCTCTTTAGCTCCGCCCCTCTCTTTTGATGTCAGACCAAACATCATGGTGACTTTTTACCATGCCTTTATTAAGAGTGTTCTTTCTTTTTCATGTGTTTTGCTGCTTCTGCTCCGTCACTGCACAGGGCTCAGTTTAACAGAGTAACAAATGTCTGCTCTAAGATCATTGGCCAGCCAATCAGATCCCTTCCTGCCTGTGTGATCAGCAGGCCATGTACCTGTGTGTGTGTGTCTGTGTGTGTGTCTGTGTGTGTATCTGTGTGTGTATCTGTGTGTGTATCTGTGTGTGTGTCTGTGTGTGTATCTGTGTGTGTATCTGTGTGTGTGTCTGTGTGTGTATCTGTGTGTGTATCTGTGTGTGTGTCTGTGTGTGTATCTGTGTGTGTATCTGTGTGTGTGTGTCTGTGTGTGTGTCTGTGTGTGTGTCTGTGTGTGTGTCTGTGTGTGTATCTGTGTGTGTATCTGTGTGTGTATCTGTGTGTGTGTCTGTGTGTGTATCTGTGTGTGTATCTGTGTGTGATCAGCAGGCCATGCATCTGTGTGTGTGTGTGTGTCTGTGTCTGTGTGTGTATCTGTGTGTGATCAGCAGGCCAAGTATCTGTGTGTGTGTGTCTGTGTGTGTGTCTGTGTGTGTATCTGTGTGTGTATCTGTGTGTGTATCTGTGTGTGTGTCTGTGTGTGTATCTGTGTGTGTATCTGTGTGTGTATGTGTGTGTGTATCTGTGTGTGTATCTGTGTGTGTGTCTGTGTGTGTATCTGTGTGTGTATCTGTGTGTGTGTCTATGTGTGTATCTGTGTGTGTATCTGTGTGTGATCAGCAGGCCATGCATCTGTGTGTGTGTGTGTCTGTGTGTGTATCTTAGTGTGTGTCTGTGTGTGTATCTGTGTGTGATCAGCAGGCCATGTATCTGTGTGTGTGTGTCTGTGTGTGTGTCTGTGTGTGTATCTGTGTGTGTGTCTGTGTGTGTATCTGTGTGTGTGTCTGTGTGTGTATCTGTGTGTGTGTCTGTGTGTGTATCTGTGTGTGTGTATTTGTGTGTGTGTCTGTGTGTGTATCTGTGTGTGTATCTGTGTGTGTGTCTGTGTGTGTATCTGTGTGTGATCAGCAGGCCATGTATCTGTGTGTGTGTGTCTGTGTGATCAGCAGGCCATGTATCTGTGTGTGTGTGTCTGTGTGTGTGTCTTTGTGTGTATCTGTGTGTGTATTTGTGTGTGTATCTGTGTGTGTGTCTGTGTGTGTATCTGTGTGTGTATCTGTGTGTGTATCTGTGTGTGTGTCTGTGTGTGTATCTGTGTGTGATCAGCAGGCCATGCATCTGTGTGTGTGTGTCTGTGTGTGTATCTGTGTGTGTATCTGTGTGTGTGTCTGTGTGTGTATCTGTGTGTGATCAGCAGGCCATGTATCTGTGTGTGTGTGTCTGTGTGATCAGCAGGCCATGTATCTGTGTGTGTGTGTCTGTGTGTGTGTCTTTGTGTGTATCTGTGTGTGTATTTGTGTGTGTATCTGTGTGTGTATCTGTGTGTGTGTGTCTGTGTGTGTATCTGTGTGTGTGTCTGTGTGTGTGGCTGTGTGTGTATCTGTGTGTGTGTCTGTGTGTGTATCTGTGTGTGTGTGTCTGTGTGTGTGTGTGTCTGTGTGTGTATCTGTGTGTGTATCTGTGTGTGTATCTGTGTTTGATCAGCAGGCCGTGTATCGGTGTGTGTATCTGTGTGTGTATCTGGTATCTGTGTGTGTATCTGTGTGTGATCAGCAGGCCATGTATCGGTGTGTGTATCTGGTATCTGTGTGTGTGTCTGTGTGTGTATCTGGTATCTGTGTGTGTATCTGTGTGTGATCAGCCATGAGAGTGGCCTGTAGGCTTCTGGGAGACCCTGCTCATGTTCTCATCCCTGTGTTTGAGTGGCTGCCTTAAGGGAAGAGGCTGCGCTCAGTGGGATGTAGGACGCTCTGTGGATGTAGGACGCTCGGTGGATGTAGGACGCTCGGTGGATGTAGGCCTCGGTGGATGTAGGCTGCTCGGTGGATGTAGGCCGCTCGGTGGATGTAGGACGCTCGGTGGATGTAGGCCGCTCAGTGGATGTAGGACGCTCTGTGGATGTAGGACGCTCTGTGGATGTAGGACGCTCGGTGGATGTAGGACGCTCGGTGGATGTAGGCCTCGGTGGATGTAGGCCGCTCGGTGGATGTAGGACGCTCGGTGGGATGTAGGACGCTCGGTGGATATAGGACGCTCGGTGGATGTAGGACGCTCAGTGGATGTAGGACGCTCGGTGGATGTAGGCCTCGGTGGATGTAGGACGCTCGGTGGATGCTTCCTGCTTCTCAAGAGAGCAGTCGTGTCTCTCTGCTCTGCTTTTGCTTCGCTTTTTAATCTCCTTGAATCATTTGTGCTCTGGAATATCAGCTCAAATCTCTTCAAACACGGATATCTATTGTGGAAACAGAAATGGGACTTAACCCGACTCTTCCAATGAGTGAAAATGGGATGAATGGACAGACTGGAAATGTAAGTTATGACGTCATTTCTTCTCCCAAAATCAACAATGATAATTATTGGAACAATTGTGGAGCTAAACCCAAAGTTGACAAAGCTAAGAATCACAATAGGAGTGAAATAAGGCCACAACTAAATGTTCTGAAGACTTCAAACCGCTTTTTACCCCTTTCTGAAACAACAAAGCCGCTAACAACTGCAGCGCCTCCACCAAGGACAAACTGTGTCCTTATCGGAGATGGTTCGGTGAAAAATGTAAACATGGAGTCCATGCTCACTGTCTCAGTTCACTCTGCAAAAGTTGCTGAGATAAGGACTCTTCTGCCTAAAGTGTTATCTGAGAACAGTGGTGCGCTTACATTATTGATCCACACGGGGGCGGTAGATATCTATGAGAAGGCAAGCGAGAAGTTACGAATGGATTTAACGCTGTTACTGGATGACCTCAAGAAAATGGACATAACAATTTTTCTTAGTGGACCACTTCCAAATATAGATGGAAAAATGGAGAAGTTTAGCCGTCTGTATCAGCTAAATACATTCCTACTCAATGAGTGTTCACGCAGAGGACTTGGCTTCATTGAAAACTTTAATCTGTTCTGGAATAGGCACGAGCTTTTTGAAGAAAAAGGTCCACATCTGAACAACTACGGAGTAAAAGTGTTGATGGATAACTTTGCATCTGCCCTAAGACCTCAGCCTGCGCAGCGCGTGCAGCCGTTGAAAGGGAGAAAGACGAAGCAAAGGGCACAGACATCACGACCATCTCCACCGACTCCCGAGGTCTCTGCACCCCCACCGCCTCAAAAGAAATCCACACCTCCACGATTCAAGAAGAACTCAACACCTCCAAGGTTCCAAAAGAACTCAACACCTCCACGGCTCCGAAAGAGCGCAACGCCTCCACCACCAGCATCATCAGCAGCTGCCACATCTTCATCAGCGCCATCAGCATATACAGCACCACCAGCAGCAGTGGATACAGCAGCAGCAGTGGCTGCTCCATCCTCTTCAGCAGCAGCAGTGGCTGCTCCATCATCTTCAGCAGCACCTTCCCCACCTACAGCTCCCGTGAAGCTTCCCCCATTGCTCCAGGCTACAGTCAGGCCTGTACTGGGGGTTCCTCAACCACCTCTGTCTCCACCAAAGACTCCCTCATCACCTTCCATGGACCCGGCTTGGGTCCCCCCCGCAACGTCCTCATTTTCCCTAGATGGTGTGGATGTTGCGGGGGGGACCCAAGCCGGGTCCATGGAAGGTGATGAGGGAGTCTTTTTCTATCCCCGCCTTCACTACTGGAATTACCGGAACACTCGGCAGGCATGATAAGATCGGCGATGAAGACTATTCCTCTCACACCCCACTGTAGCCAGATCAAGAGTCCTATCTAACATTCAAAACTACTCCCCATACGTACCTCCAAAGCCACCTAGGGCGTCCAACTCAAATTCACCCACAAAATCCACCCGTCCCTCCTCTAACCCCATAAGTATTCCACCCCCCCCCTCCTGCTCATTTAGCCCACCTCCCCCCTAACCCAGCACCAAGAAACCCTCCACCTCCACTCCCCCCTCGTCCACCACCCAACTCAGCCTGCCCCTCCCCTAACCCATCACCAAAAGCCCATCCACCTTCAACTCCCAAGAACCATCCGCCTTCCCCTTCCCCTCTTTTCTCTAAACACTAGGATGCACAGGGTCTCTGCTTCGCAGCCACTGGCAGTCTAGTTAGAGGAGAGACCCGGCTGGGGCCCTGTCATGAAGCCACCTGTGCCATTCCTTCAGTGATAACACAAAGAATACATAACAGAAAAACATCAGAAGTTAATCAGTCTAATCTGGAAAATCAGCCGACCACAACCGCTGATCCTGAAACTTTGAAACTTGCTATGCTAAATGTCAGATCTCTTTGTAACAAGTCTTTTTTAATCAATAATTTTATTTGTTCTTATAATCTAGATCTTATGTTCATGGCTGAAACATGGCTTGACAAAAATACAGAAATGCAGTTTTAATAGAAGCATCACCACCAAATTTCAAATTTGAATCTGAAATACGGGAAAACAAAAAAGGAGGAGGCTTAGCTGCCATTTTCAGAGACCACTTTGTCTCCCATAGAATGTCTCTTGGGAAGTTTTCCGTCATTTGAATATGTGTCTTTTAAAATACAACAAAAACAATCTCCTCCATACTTTTCGTTGTCCTATACAAGCCACCGCAGTCATGTCACAGTTTTATTGATAATTTTACAGAGTTGCTTTCAGTTGTATGCACAGATTTTGATAGCTTAGTTATTACAGGTGATTTTAATATTCATGTGGATAATGTTGATGACAGAAATGCAAAAGAGCTGAGTTCTGTTCTTGAATCTTTTGGTCTCACTCAGCATGTGAGTGGCCCCACCCACAGCAGAGGGCACACTCTAGACCTGTTAGTTACAAAGGGGGTGAACATTTCTAATGTAAACGTGGTCGATGTTGCGCTTTCAGATCATTTCTGTGTATTTTTTGACATGTGTTTCACTAACAAACCACCAGTGGACTCTGCAACTGTACGAAGAAGACACATAAATGAAAATACGGGTGAACTATTTATGGGAATGATAAACTTTGAGAATGCATCGTATTCTACTGTAGATGAACTGTTTAGCTCTGTCACCTCTAGTGTTTTGAATGTTCTGGACACCATCGCTCCTGTGAAGGTTAAAATAGTGAAAAATAAGCAGAAGGCGCCGTGGGCTAAAGCAGACTCGGTCAGGGCACAAAAGAGAGAGTGCCGGAGGGCCGAGCGGAAGTGGCGCAAGTCCAACCTCCAGGTTGATTACGAGATCTTCAAAGATAAGTTGTGCGAGTTTAACCAGGTGCTACGTAGTACGAGAGAAAGGTATTTTTCTGAATTGATTGAAGGCTGCAGCAACAATCTGCGTGTTCTGTTTTCAACAGTTAATAGATTAACAAACCCCCCTGTTCAGATGCCATTAGAGCTAACTTCCAAACGTAAATGTAATGAGTTTGCACATTTTTTCAATGACAAGGTTCAAGGCATCAAAAACGCCATTGTCTCCAATCCACAGATAACCATCCAACAACCAGAAAGGCTCTTTGAGCTAACTTACTTTGCACCTGTAAATGATCAAACTGTCCAAGAGATAATCTCCAGTTTGAGCTCCTCCACATGCAGCCTGGATGTACTACCCACTAGATTTCTTAAGTCTGTTCTGAGCAGTCTGTTACCTTCACTCACACAGATAGTAAACATGTCCCTTAATTCTGGAATATTCCCAAAGGCCCTGAAAACTGCAGTCATCAGGCCCCTGCTAAAAAAGAGCAGTCTGGATGCTACGGTACTTAACAACTATCGTCCCATCTCAAATCTGCCATTTATGGGGAAAGTCCTTGAGAAAGTTGTCTACCAACAGCTAAATAGATTTCTTATAATCAACAACTCATTTGATATGTTTCAGTCCGGCTTTAGACCCCACCACAGCACTGAGACGGCTCTCGTCAAGGTTACAAACGATATCCGGCTGAACACTGACGCAGGCAAAGTCTCAATCCTAATCCTGTTAGATCTGAGTGCTGCCTTTGACACTGTCGACCATGAGATCCTCTTACAGAGACTAGAGGACTGGGTTGGCGTCGCTGGCACCGCCCTAAGTTGGTTTAGGTCTTACCTTGAAGACAGGAAGTACTTTGTGGAGATTGGAAACTGTGTCTCAGATCATATGGCCCTGACCTGTGGAGTACCACAGGGGTCGATCCTGGGACCTCTTCTGTTCAATCTCTACATGCTGCCGTTAGGTCAGTTAATACGCAGAAACAAAGTGTCCTATCACAACTATGCAGACGACACTCAGATCTATGTCTCACTGACTGCAGGAGAACATGGACCAGTGGACTCACTCCTTCACTGTATCCAACAGATCAGTGAGTGGATGCAAAACAACTTCCTTCAGCTAAACGCAGACAAAACTGAAATGATTGTCTTTGGTCCCCAGAAACAAAGAGAGAGCCTCATCTGTCATCTACAGTCTCTCTCCCTAAAACCTTCAAACAAGGTCAGAAATCTAGGGGTAATACTGGACTCAGACTTAAATTTTAATAGCCACATCAAATCAGTAACATCGGCAGCTTTTTACCATCTAAAAAACATTGCCAGGATCAAAAACATAGTGTCTAAAGCAGACTTGGAGATTCTTATCCATGCATTTGTCTCCAGTAGGTTAGACTACTGCAATGGCCTGCTCACAGGTCTCTCCAAACAGGCTGTAAAACAGCTGCAGTACATTCAAAATGCAGCAGCTTGAGTCCTGACTAGAACCAGGAAGTACGACCATATTAGTCCAGTCTCTGCACTGGCTTCCTGTGGCTCAGAGAATAGACTTTAAAACAGCTCTGCTTGTGTACAAGTCTCTCCATGGCCTCGCACCAAAATATATTAGTGACATGTTAGTCCCATATGAACCAACCCGGACTCTGAAGAGCACAGGGACTGGACTCCTGTTAGTGCCCAGAGTCAGAACTAAACATGGGGAGGCTGCTTTTCAGATTCATGCTGCTAAAATCTAGAAAAATCTTCCTGAAGATGTGAGACAGGCCTCCTCTCTGACAATGTTTAAAACCAGGTTAAAAACGGTTCTGTTTAGCTGTGCATACAACTGAGGGATTTTATGTTTTTATCTTTCTTTTTAATGTTCTGTGATTATTTATGATTGTAATGCTATCTTGTTCAGCACTTTGAGTTGCCTTGTGTATGAATTGTGCTATACAAATAAACTTGCCTTGCCTTGCCTTGCCATTAATACAATAAACAGAACAAACATTGCAATAAATGATTCAATTGAAACTAATGCCACTCATTCAATTGTTTTGATTTGTCCATTTGTCAGAGAAAATATGTAATTATGTCATATTTAGCCTTAAAAGTGACGTAATAAACCAGTAACTTAGAAAAACAAAACACAAATTGCACAAAACTATACATGCAATAAATATGGATCACCAAAATGTATTGTTCCATGTAAAATAAGTTGATTGTAAATATTGTGAATGAGCAAGTTATAGTCAGTATAACTATGTAAGGTCTTAGGTTATTCCAGGCATTAGGTGGTAGAGTTTAATATATTAATGACAAGCGGTCGAAATGAGTTTCCGCCGCACATTGTGGCATGGGTTAGAGATCGGGTGAGAAGCTCAGGCAGGAGCTCGAAATAAAGACGCTGCTTCTCCATGTCGAGAAAAGCTTGTTCTTTCTTTTTTGAACGCCGGGGAAGACCATGGACTCGTTGGAGGGACTATGTCTCTCAGCTGCCCTGGGATTGCCTCAGGATTCCCCTGGATGAGCTGAAAGGACTGTGTGTGGCATCTCTGCTTGGATTTCTTCCCCTGTGACCCGGCAATGGATAAAGCGGAAGTTGAACAGTCAATAGTGTTGCTTATAAAAGTGCCATTTTATGTCAGTCAAATCAAGTGTAGCCGGTAAAGTGAATCATGAGAATCCAACATTGTCCTTCTTACTGAGCATATGGTAAAGTCTGGTGTAGTTGGAGAAAGAAGCATCACGCTGATATTCAAAGATTTTGTTTCCGATGCTGTTTGTTGTCGTTGCATTTTCTGGTTATCAGTATCAAAGGCTTGTCCCTACTGCGGCTGGATCTACGTCATGTTCCGCCTGTGTTTCCCTGTTCTTTCATCGGCGCTTTTAAGTTCTGTGTTGGCGTACTGTTTTATTCATAAGGGACTGACTTCAGATCAAATATGCATTATTTTTCCCACTTGAAATGGATTGGTGGCTTTTCATGTGTGTGTTTTACAGGAGGAGATCTGGATTGAGAGGCAGGAATGACAAATACTAAGAACAAAAGACTGTAATTTGTTGTGGATGAGTGGAAACATAGCCATCCATCCATCCATCCATTTTCTTCCGCTTCATCCGTTGCCGGGTCGCGGGGGCAGCAGTCTAAGCAGAGACGCCCAGACTTCCCTATCCACACACACCTCCTCCAGCTCGTCCGGGGGGACTCCAAGGCGTTCCCAGGCCAGCTGAGAGACATAGTCCCTCCAGCGTGTCCTGGGTCTTCCCCGGGGCCTCCTCCCGGTGGGACGTGCCCAGAACACCTCCCCAGGGAGGCGTCCAGGAGGCATCCGGAACAGATGCCCGAGCCACCTCAACTGGTTCCTCTCGACGTGGAGTAGCAGCGGCTCTACTCCGAGCTCCTCCCGTGTGACTGAGCTCCTCACCCTATCTCTAAGGGAGCGCCCAGCCACTCTGCGGAGGAAGCTCATTTCCACCGCTTGTATCCGCGATCTCGTTCTTTCGGTCATTACCCAAAGATCATGACCATAGGTGAGGGAGGGAACGAAGATTGACCGGTAAATTGAGAGCTTTGCCTTTCGGCTCAGCTCCCTCTTTACCACAACGCTCCATCCTTCCCTCACTCGTGAACAAGACCCAGAGATACTTGAACTCCTCCACTTGAGGAAGGCCCTCTCCACCCACCCGGAGAGGGCAAGGCACCTTTTTCCGGTCGAGCACCATGGCCTCAGATCTGGAGGTGCTGATTCTCATCCCAGCCGCTTCACACTCGGCTGCAAACCGTCCCAGTGCATGTTGTAGGTCCTGGTTCGTTGGAGCCAACAGGACAACATCGTCTGCAATGTGGGCCCCGTGGGCTAAGGCCCGGCCACCAGGCGCTCGCATTCGAGCCCCGACCCCAGGCCTGGCTCCAGGGTGGGGCCCCGGCTGCGCCATGCCGGGCGACGTCACGGTTCTTCTCTTTGTGCTGTCCATGTTGGCTTCTGACTGCTCTTCGTCTGACTTGTCACCTGAGACCTGTCTGCCATGGGAGACCCTACCAGGGGCATGAAGCCCCAGACAGCATAGCTCCCAGGATCACCCGAGTACTCAAACTCCCCCACCACGTTAAGGTGGCAGTCCAGGGGGGGGGAAACATAGCCTAGTAATTTTATTTGAGTAGTTCAATTATTCAAAACTAGATACATCCCTGCCACCATCAGACTGGCTGCGAGGATGGGAGACTGCAGGGAATATGGCGTGGCATCAAAAGCAAGACACCCGACTTTTTATGAATGGTGTATTTGATGACTTTGCCATGTTTAAGGATGATGGGCAAAGGGGGTGATGCTGCATTTTTTTTAGCTATAGAGTAAAATAATTTGTTTTTCATTTTCTGCTTGACAGCTGAATTTCCCAATTAAGTATCTATCTTGGTGATGAGTTGTATTATGGTAAAATTAAATACTATTGGATAAGATTCGATATACTTCCAGAAATAAATCCAGAAGAATATTTAGATTTAGCTTGTAAAAGTTTACTCTGTGCTTTAAATTGTGATAGATTGGATTACATTGTTTCATATCTTTCAATCGCTTCAGTCAATAAGCCATAGATGCTCAAATCAATTTGTCACAAGTAGTTTCTCTTCAAATGAACCAGATAATAATTTTAAATGATTCTTGACAGTTTGTTACAGTCTTGTTATGAGCAGCTAATTATCACTGCTCTTGTAGTTCCTTTTTGACAGATTAAGTGGCACTTAAGAATATTGTAATGTGTGTGACTGCAATAGCCACTTATCTCCCTGACACTTTGTTGAACTAATGGAACAAAAATCCATTTCCTCAAGCCCTTTTGTGGCTTTCGATGTCTGATTTGTGGACTTACATGACTCCAGCTCTAAGGCCATGCCAAATCCTCCCACTCATTAATTATTAAGATTTTGAATTAGTTGAAACTGTAGTTGTGTAATGTTGGATGTCAGGCCATTTTTAGTTTTCAAAGGTTTATGCCAAAAGTTTAAAATGTTCCTATGAGAAGTACTACTACTGTATGTGGATTAAGTAAAATCCAACTGATGGAATTCTTGGCTAAAACCTATCTATCTCGACGGACCATATTGCACTGCACTTTGTTGGTTCTCTTAAAATCAAAGGAAAAAAATTCAGTCAAGTCAAACTTTTCTGCATTTACTGTAACTATGACTTATGCTTTGCCTTCATATGCCTCCCTCAGGAAATGTGTCTTTCTTCATAGAGTTGGGGTTAGGGATGTACCGATCCAGATTATTTGTAATCCGATCCGATTCCAATATTCTTAAATATTGTTTTGCCGATACGATCCAATACCGATCCGATACGATCCAATTTTTTCTAATATTTTCAACGCATCAAAAATTTTGCAACCAGTATTACTTTAAAATGTTTTGTTTTATTATAACATGATCAAAAATATTGTTTGGCTTTTGCTTAACAGACCTACTGAGTTAAACTTAAAATAAAAGAAATATCAAAGAGGAACAATTATCAAAAAGCGGCCCTCAACATTCAGTATAACAAAGAGAAAAGAGCTGGTACATAACTGAATGACCACAAAAAGCCGGTACTTAACCAGTGTGTGAACTCTAAATGTAAACTCCCCGATATTTGACAAATCCGATAATATCCGATCCTTACAAAATACCCATATCGGCCCCCGATACCAATACTGAATATCGGATCGGTACATCCCTAGTTGGGGTATTTCCAACTGGAATTACATTTATCAGATCATCTACATGGAGATGTGATTGCTTTTGCCTGAAATGCCCCACCATAAGACAATCAAATGTACTCTTAATGGAAAATTTGTCTATTTTTAAATGTTACCAAACTTTTAAATCCTCCCTTAAGACAGGATTTTGAACATCACCCTTGCAGCAGCTTGTACTGTTCAAACATGATTTCAGTTACTCATGCCAGTTTGTCAGCCCACTTGCGGCATGTTGAAGGATTTGTCATTTGGTGTAGAAGACCCTCAGCAGTGAATAGTGATGCTTTTTATTTTGACTCATTGTTCTTCAAACGAGTCCTCCCATCCGTCCTTCCATCTGCATCAACATGTGAAGAAATATAACGGCCTAGATAAATGCTCCAGGGGAAATTCGTCTTGTGTTTACCTTTGTGATTGATATGCATGGAGTAAACTGCATACACAAGCAAGCACAATTTGTGAAGAGCCTTGTGGGGTAAATGGTAGAAAATAGGAAATGCCTTATGTATGCTATTTTTCATTTTAATTGCTCGATGGGTTTCAAATGACGGTTCCTTCCACTGCAGTTCTGGTAAGTTACAATATTTTCTAGCTGTTCAACTTCAGAATCAGTAAAGCCTTTTGCAGAAGGAGCAATGTCTTTGACCAAATTTGTTTTGAAACTTGATCAAAGGATTGTGCAGAATCTGTTCCCTTACACTTGCCAAATTGCCATGTAATTCAAACATGGATAGATTTTTCACCTAGGAGGAATTCCATTGCAGTACAACAGGCTGCTAAATAGATTGGAATTCACATTGTTCATCTGCCATCTCAAACTCTGCACCAGCTTGTGTCAACAGCTGAGCAGAGGATTTTTGCATTTTATAGTATTTCACTCATTGCTCATTGTATTAATTACCATCATGTATTCAACATAATATACCACATTGTTCACAGCTGCTTCTGTTTGACTGTCTTTCTTTCCCATTTCACGTTTCACTCGTGTTTGCGCCTGTAGTCGAGATGGCGTGTCTCGGGACTTACTATCAGTTCTCGTTATGACGGGAACACTCAGTACATGTGTGCAAACTGTGCATGTGACTGGTCCATCTGTAACGAGACAGACAGATCAGAGCACAATTAAGCCTGTCGAACTAAAACCAAGAGCCACTGGGGAGAGATTTCTGATGGAAGGACAGCACGTTTTGTGATGAGAAGAGTGGAGCATGGGCCGTACAAGTGGGATAGAGAAGGGGGTTACAGCCCTCAGGTCGTTCTTCTCAGCAGCACTAATTTAATTGGCTCGTTAACGGGGACGTGGGATGCTTCTTCTTGATTGGTTGAGTGGGCAGATGTGGTCTACTGAGACAGGAAGTCTAGGAGGGGGCGTATAACTATCACTACACATATAGCAAACACACACACACAAACACGTTTTTACACAAGAATTCTTTGGCTCAAATCCAGTGATATGAAGAACTCTTTTTATTAGCAACACAATAAAAACAAACATGCGTATTATTTAACGAGCGCACAAGGATTAGCTCATTCAAGCATGCTCTGTCTTTTATTAATGAGAATGGAGCTCTGCCAACTGAAGTATATGAGCCTTTTGTTATACATCTTTATTAATATGACCTTCTTTGACTCTGCCCATGTCTTTTTGAGTCCATTCGGTAGTCTCACAACGTCT